CTGTGCCTTCCTTTTTCCAGATGTCCCATCATTCTAATCAACCCCCCCCCCTACAGTGTCCAATCATAGATGATCCCTTTGGTGCTCAATGCTGTGATTGGCTGCCACTTCAATCAGCAGTTCACTGTAGACGTCAGGTTGTGTGTCCATTGCTCGGGACCTTGAATATGATACTTTTAGACTCGTCGGTGTCATTCTACATGTCTCTTTGTATTAGAAAATTGTAATATTTGATTTACTTGAATCAGTAGCAAGTTTTAAATGGGCCTAATACGAAATCTTTTTTTAATATGAGTATGAATTAAATTTATGAATTTAAATATGTTAACAGTGCGAGCTAACCCTTTTGTTGCGAGATATTTTTCTGAACTTTGTTTGAAAAGTGTTAGCATATTTATGTTGGTACCTCTAGAAGAATCAACCAGCTCATTGGCTGTTGGCAATTGCAATGCCATAGTTCCAAAGTACTATTCCCCTAGTAAACATGGCGGCCAATTTTTCTCAATTCTCGCATTCAGTGCTAAGAACTGCTCTTTGCCTTACAATCCACATCACTCCAACAGACACCCTTTCCTTAGAACCAGATTAGATTACAGGTCACTACACTGATCACAAAACACCAAGTCACTCTTTTGTCACATATGTAATAAAAACGACACTCCACAGAAAATTGTCGGTACAATGCTAGAGCTAATCATCTAAATACACAAATACACCTTTCAAATTTTGCTCATATTGCAAAAGAAATAACCACACCATTGACCAGTGCTTGAAGCGTCCAGCTAAAAGAGGACAGTTTCCAAAAAACTTCTAAAGCAGGGAAGTCAAGTACCAACGTTTTACAGCATCTCAAATTTCTAGCAGAGTTTCTGTGCAAGTGCTACCTCCATTTGGATGTTTTCAGTCTACGACTATTATGTTTCGTAAAAAGCAAGAGCGGTTCCCTGATTCCCTTTACTTATCACACTTAGATACGATAAATAACTGAGAGCGCACGATAATTTTGGGCTGGCATGAACTACGCCGGTTGTCTGATTCAGAATTTAAACTAACAACAAAACATTGAACAAGGCAACTTCCTTAAATATGAGTTTTTATATGGAATCGGTATCGAGAATCGTTAGTAATATTTCAGAACTGGTATTGAATCGAGAAATTCTGTTATCGGCCTATCCCTATTAAAATACAATTAAAATTTGACTGAGACGTAATTCAAGCCCTCAGTTTTGAGACCGAGTTCAGTTTTTTCCATTTATGCGTAGTTTGACACTGCTGTGCTGTTCCTACCTGTTATTATACATAGAGCTGGCGGCTGGCGGTGAGTCTGCGTATTCTGGTATCCTGTCAGCGATTCTCAAATCTCTTTAATCGAATCTCGAATCCGAATCTTTTCGTAGGATTCGAGATTCGGATTCGACTCATCTGAGCTGCCATGCCCGTGTCGTGTTGTTAGTTGTTTGTATTCTATTCTGCCGATCTTACGTATTCTTGACAGTAAACTCGTAGTTGTACTTTATTTTTTATTTAATATACTTTTTAGAACTATGAAACAATATAAATAAGCATTTAATTTGGAATAATAATTGATTATAACCTAGTTTTATATGGTAGGTCGATCATCATTTAAATATTCGATTCAAACTTCGAACCTATTTTGAAATTTTGAATCGAATCGAATATCGGTATATTCGATTCAAAAAAGTTTGAAGTTTGAATATTAGCACACCCCTAGTTTCAAGAAGAGCTTCTGGTCCTACATATTTCAGCTGACCTTTCATTTCTGTGATGAGGGAAAGGTCTCTTCTGTGTGTAGATATTGAATGATGGTATTTTCTTTGTTTGGGTTGTGCCTATTATAGTTAGATTCAGCAGATTGGACTTTAATAATGTAATGTCTTTAATAAATAATGTCAGCAAGGTTTAATAATGTATCTTTTATGTCCCTAAGCTCTGGTTTTAAGCTATCTAATTTGTGATTTTCATACGTTACTGATTTTGATTGTGGTTTAATTAAAGTAACACGTTCAGCTGAGCAAACCAACAGTAAAACTCATACACTACTTCACGCACTCCCAACTGACGATAGCTAAGCCAACTGACACAAACGGTATCAGTGTTTGGACGCAAAGTGAGTCAAGATGTCACTGACTAGCCGCCAGTGATAGGTGATGTATTATGTAGGGGTCTGCGGTTTACCGAAAAAGTCGGTACGGTACGGTACAAGCTTAATTACCGTCATCGGTTCAGTACAGCATTTTACACGTTCGGTACAGCATTTTACACGTTCGGTACAGCCTAATTATAATAATAAATTACTTTCAGTTTACTATCGTAGTCAACGACAGTTGGTTCCGAGCACATAAAAGTCTTATCAGATGTTTGTTTACGATCTTCATAATTTATTACTAGGGTGATGATGCAATAAAAACCCCATTAGCAGTTCCAAATCCATTAAAATTTTATCATGACAATAATTGTTGTATTCAAGTACTTCCAAGAACTGTTGAGTTTTATCACTTTTATTTCTTTACGACTTTCTCCAATTCTATTTTATCATAAAAATAGTAGTTTTATGATGAGTGTTAAATGTTATCTCTAACTCAGTCAGTATTTTCGTAGATATTCAATTTGCCCATTGCCTACTGCCATAAAACTGTTTATGGCTACATATTAAACTTGTAAGGCCGGGGCCACACTCATCTTATCTCGCTGAATTTTTTCCATGGGCGTTACCCGTGGGTTTGAGAGATACATTACGGTATATGGGGCAGGCCACACTAGAGTAAAAACGTCCGTGAACGTGTTTGTCAGTCTCACTGGTTTTACCAGCGAGACTGACAAACGGAATTGCACGTGTATTCTCTACTAACATTCCACGGGCGTTGCACGTAAAACTAGTCGCGGGGCATTGCGGCTTATGGGAGTGAACACACTCACCTTATCTCGCTGAACTTTTTCCACGGACGTTTCTAGTTTTAACCTGTACAGAGAGCGTGGAAGGGGGGGGGGGAGTGCATATCACGGACACGTACGATTTTTATTACCAGTGTGGCATGCTCTATCAGTCTCGCTGGTTTGCCCGAAAAACCTATCTCGTAAGACGAGTGTGGCCACGGGCAAACTGTTTCACGTGCGTCGCACGTGAAAACGGAGAAAACAGTCTCGCTGGTTGAAAATTACAAGTGTGGCCCCGGCCTAACTAACCTACAATCTTATTTTATAAGTTAAAATATTTGTTATAGATATTTTATCTTTCTATTGACAACCACAAGCATAGTCGTTGTTGTTTGCATAATTTTTGTTTTCGTTATTCAAGCCTACTCGGTCTCAAATTATGTCATTACATGTTCTGTATCTTGTCTTATATGGACAACAGCCTAACAGCCTACTAACAGCCTAAATGTGGCTGTTTAAGGCTTAAAATGTTTTTTTTAGTTTCCTGTATTTTTGTGTTGTGTTGAAGGTACTTTATGCAATCTAAATCTTATGAACTAGATAGTGATTTTGCTACCCTCATTGTAACCTAATCAATTTATATATAGGCCCTCCTAAATAATTAGGTCTAGGCCTGGGTCTTTTGATTCTTTGGAAGAGCTTTAAAATATACTAAGAAAATTGGATTGAGCCTAAGATAAACTAATGATTGATTTGATTGATATTGGGGATGTTAACTTTGTAAATGAAAAGACAATAATCTTACTCTGTGATAATCCAAATTTTAGTTTCAGAAAAAAACTTTTCAAGAGTTATATCCATCTTATAACTAGTTTTGAAGCTGATACTGCTCTTTGCCATTACTTCATCATAACCTCTAGTGAACAGCTGGCAACTACACTGTCATCGTACTGAATGCTATTAGGCCTATATGGTTTAAAAATTTTTTAAAACAACTAGATATTGTGTTGGTTGGAAATAATTTACCAGTTGTGTTAAATTATCTTGTCAATAAATGTTTCAAACATGTTTATTCCTAAAAACTCTTATAATATTTTTAAAACCACTTTTATCATGGCTATATTCAAAGTATCTCAGAGTAAAATAGGTAAAGCCTCTATCTTAACTGTGATTTTCTTGACACAATCCTCGTAGTAGTAAAAGGTTTTGTTTTAATAATGTGTGGTACAGTAATTGTTGTTAGAAAACCATGAATGTGTATACTATCCATTTTCATAGTTATGTCAATGTATTAAAGTTAAAAATAATGGTTTGAATACAGTTCTGAGCATAAAACCGCAAAAATACGGGTAGCCGCGTACCGTACCGATTTTGTACCGAGAACCGAGGTACAAAATATTGTACCGTACCGAACCGTACCGACCCTAAATTTTCTGTACCGCAGACCCCAAGTATTATGGAGTTGATAATGGTGGGCAGAGGTTAGGGAGGGTGATTAGGGGAGGGAAAAAAGGCTGTATCTAAAGATAGACTGGCGTGTGACTAAACAATAGACTTGCTCCACGCATTGTGAGTTTCCATCAAACTTTCTCTTTTTTTCTATGAAGGTTGTTTTCCTTCCAGCCGGATATTTTTGACGTGATATACAAGGTTTTGGAATTTGTTGCTGATGTATCCAAGTTTATTACAATGCAAACACAGTTTGGGTGGAACCTATGAAACAATGACGTTATATCCGTGTCGACGTTAAGGCCGAGGCCGTAATAACCAAGTTGCACTGTATTCCCTATAAATAACATAAGTTTAATGAGTATTCAGATCTGCTGTTTTAGTTAAGGAAAAAAGTGTTTTTTATATCAATTCAATACAGTAGTTTAGAATAAAATAAATAAATTTGCCGAATATTATCAAAATATATCAAACAAACAAACTACAGCAGTTTACTTTTTGGATAATAACAACATATAATTTTTAAATGTACAGTTTTTTCTTTGTAATAAACATGTCAAACCTACAGTCTTTTACTTATATTATCTCGAATAAAGCCTGAAGAATGTTTTACATATAGATTATTATTTATATTAATGTCGAAGGTGTATTTTTAGGCAGCTCAACATTCATGAAGTGTTTAGTGGACGGTTGCATCACCAGTAATAGGGTCGCTCTATGTTGTATGACTCCTAGAAACAAAGCAGTGACCAAATACTTCTACTTGGTACCATCTGCAGAGACTTACGACCAGGAGGGTCGTCAACTCTCACCGTGCGGATTCCACGCCATACCCATCCCTTTTGACCGTAAGATAACCTATTTTAATAAAACTTGTAGAAAGATTGATTGTATTTTTTAAAGATAAAATACTTTCAATAGGGGACTAAGAAATATTAAATGCTCACAATCTAGTAAGGTTGCTTTATTAAGCTCAAACACAAAAGTGAACTGCAAGGCAAGTGTGTTTGTATTTCGACTTTCTCAATATAATACTTGGAGGAGTTTTCTGTTAAACTCTTCAAATTCCACGGGTAATTTAGTAATTTAATAAGGCTTTTTCATCATGTTTTCCCATCATATCTTAAAACACAATTTCATTGATCGGATTTTTTACTTAAATATTTCCATTAACAAGACGTATTTATTCCCCATTAGATTTAACGAGTGCCGTACTGTACATTTTGGTCAAAACTTCTGTGCGTGCTGACGGATTGCTACTAGCCGAACTAAAACATACGGGTTCCTGTTATTGGCAGTACTAGGGTTAGGTGTGAGTGAGAAGCAAGAGTCAAATATTTTTACAAAAGTACTCCCGCCAACCCCCTCGCCTAGACCCGACCAGATCTGGTCGTGTGTACAGAAACTTTGGCCGAACTGTATTTAGGTTTGCTGCTACAGGGTGGATAAAAGAGTTTTTTGACCAATGTTTATGATATGGCATAAAATAAATAAATTTGCCAAATTTGATTAACATAAATAAACATGCAAACTACAACAGTTTTTTTTCTCCATAAGAATAACTTGGAAAATTTAAATTTACAGTCTTTTGGAACTGGGGAAACCAAGAATTGTGCCGTAATTTTGAAATATCACCAAGAGAACCTCATTTTAGTCTATGATCAACGCAAAATCGTGAACTTCTTCTGCGGTCACAGAAAAATCAAGAACATAACTATGTGCCAGCAAGTAGCACAATTCTACTATCAGTGACCTACATTATGCAACCAATTGCCTCTTAACCTGATATTTTGATTGAAAATCTTTTACAGAATATAGCCTGCAATTTTTTTAAAAGGTGACTATAAAGATTAGAAATTTGACTACTTTTGTAGTAAACAAGTAAGAAAATTATATTTATTTCAATATTAAAATTTTTTTCAGACGATACGAGGGAGCAGGTATTTGATTACTCCTCAGATGTTCCTCAGCATACCTTGGAAATAGTAAAGAAGATTGTAAAGAAACTGAGGGCATCGTTTACACCTGCCAAGTTTGAAAATCCTAAGCACCAACAGTTTTGGACCCACCTGGAAGCCCTGGCATTAGATAAGACAGCTCCGGAACTACCTGGAGATTCTACGCGTAAGATTAACTTTCTCTGAGCTAAGATAAACATGTCCTTAGTCTCTCATTCTTTCTCAGTACGAGTACACCTGAGTCCCGTTAATCTGAACTAACTGAGACTGGATCCTTGGATTAGCCAGAACAGAAATGCAGTCAAATTGCATAAAAAAGTGTAAACAATATGTTTTTTATTAATGGAAATAGCTATATATTTATTACTCCTGCAATCTCGTCAAAACCTTTATCGTCCCTTGCCGTGAGGCAATTTTGTGTGATGGTTACATGTGATTACAGCGACAACATCATCGTCTTCTGCGATCACACCTCCTGATCTTGATCATCATACAGATGGATAAATAATGCACAAACAATTCAGTTTTTCAGTCACTGGATACCATGAATAGTATTTCAGAATACAGAAACCTATTTCCACTCTTAGGTTGTTCAGATTACTTAGTTGTTAAATTAGCGGGATCAGGTTGTATCTTCTTTTTTCAGTAAATACTAAAGGGATAGGTACTAAAGACCAAGTACTAAAAGCCAGAGTGTTTGACATAAGTCGTCTGCTGCTGAGCTGAAAATGTTGATGCCAGATGGATTAAAGCATTCAAGCAACCAACTTTAATTAACTTTTATTTGAACTTGGTACAGTAGAACTTTGATTGTGTACTAGGGGGGTCGAACTATCCAAATGCTGTACTATAGGGAGTATATTGGTCAGTTACACACATGGACTACTATATTAAAAACAATAATAAAGTAAACAAATTTATGAAATTAAATTAAATTAAATGGTTGAAATTAAAAACTCTTTATGTTTAATAACGTTAAATGAATAGTTTAAAATTTATCTACTACAAACTTATCATTTTACATCTCTACTGTACACATTCCTTTGTCTTCTTACTGTATAAAATAGTTTGTAATATTTAACTGCTTTTCACTTTGGATTTTAGAACAAATAAAAATTGATGGGATAGTGAGTAGGGTTGGGCAGGTAGTGATTTTTTTATTCAAGTCGATTCGAGTATTTGAGTAAAAACTCGAGTGTCGAGTCGAGTCGAGTAGTTGCGTGTTGAGTAGGCCTAGGCCCAGAGTTTAAGTTGCAGTAGCATATTTAGCATCTTGCTATTCACAACCCAAAAATGCTACATTGTTTTGCAGGCTACAGCAAATTTGCTACAAATGAAATTGAAGATGTAATGTTCAAACATGTAATATTAGACTACTGGAATTTTTTGTTTTAAATGCTTATTGAATAATATTTTTGCTACAGTTGTCTTAGAGTTTGTAGCATTTTTCTGAAACAAATTTCATCCTAGCCTACTAAACCCTGCCTAGGCCTAAATAGGAAGTTTAAGTATATACTAAATTATAACTTAAATGTTATATGGTTACTAATTATTAGTAACTATTAACTTAGGCCTAATAAAACATTTGGCCTAGCCTACTTGTTGGCTGCAGCATTAAATTTACATTAAATAAAGCCATGAGTTTTCTATAGTGCAATCTTCAGAGGTGCTCATTTCAATTGAAAATTGAGCTTTTGGCTAATTGGCCCTGAACACATTCTTCCTGCCTTAACTTATCATTTAGTCCAGCCCTACTTTAAAATTCCAGGGACCCGCGAACCCCTATTTACTTTTTTTTTCCTACATTCATATCCTACAACACTAGGCTCTTGCCCAGAATCGTTTTATATGATATCTCAGGCAAGGGCTAAAGATTCACAGCGTTATTACAGATGAATCCACAATCCATTGGTAGTATTAGAACCCCAGACCTCGTGGACTTATGTACCCATGATGGGGACCTTTGTGTGTTTGTGTTCTTGTTCTTTATCTCTACCATTAGATTAGATCGCTCCCCAAATTAATGTGGACACAGTTTATTGTGTACAGTAGAACCCCTCAAATCTTACAGACTGTGTGTTTCATGGTAAATCTTGTATTTTCTTCATTGTTAATGTGTGCTTGCTTCTGCTCCCCTGTTATTTGCTAGTTTGAAAATCCGATTTTTGATATTCAAATCATGTCTTGGTCCCAAAACATGTGGTGAGTTCTACTGTCTTACAAATATTTTTAAGTAGATAAATAGATTCATAACCAACTGAAAAGTTCCAGATTTGGAAGCTCAAGATTCGAGACTTGGCGATTTGATCCAAGAGTTTAACTCTACATTTGAGTTAGATGGTACTCCAACACCCACGACAGCCAAACGTGAGATGAAAAGTAGAGATTCTGCGGGACCCTCCAAGAGAGTCAAGAAAGAGGATGGCGATATTGATAAGAAGATCAAAGAAGCTATCGAAACCAGAAAAGTATGTATATTCACAGAGATTTGCAGTAGACATTTGCCATCCTAGAACTTCTTAACTATCATTATTTTTATGAAGAAACATTTTTACTTTGTGATGATGCCTTATAGATTCTTAGTACAGAGGAATATACTTACTCTAACTAGTCTTATTTACACTTACAGTAGAACCCCTCATATCAGACCATGATCGGGCCATGGTCTGAACAGCAAAAAGGTTGGATATCGGGAGGAGCATAACCTGCAGTCTCCGCAACATCGGTAATCGTCTCCCACGACCGCAACAATACCTGTAAGCGTAACTTGCTGTGTCCGGGACTTCGCTAACCGTCTCCCGCGACACCGGTGAGCATAACTTGCTGTCTCCACGACTTCTGGTAATCATCTTCTGGACGACGGTAACACCCATGAGCGTAACTTGCAGTCTCCGTGACTTTGGTAATCATCTCCCGCAACGACGGCAACACCCATGAGCATAACTTGCAGTCTGGATGACTTTGGTGATCGTCTCCCGCAACGGCGGCAACACTGGGGAGCATAACTTGCAGCAGTCTCCACAACTTCGGTAATCGTCTCCCACGATGGCGGCAACAACTGTTACCAGCGAACATGGTGATCGTCTGCCATGATTAGGACAACATTCGCGATCGGCCATTCAGTCAACCGATCGCGCTCGGCGTTATCGCCCCAGACAGGAAACAAGTAGACGGTTGGACACTAGGTCGGATGTTCCAAAGAGTCGGTTATCCTGAGGTCGGATATGACGGGTTCTACTGTACTTCACATTTTTTAAGTTCAAAAACCTTTTCGATTTGAATATTTCTCTCAATCCCTAAAACCTTTCTATACAATCAGTGTTGAAATAATTTGAGTAATACATGTGCCTATCTTTATGTGTGGAACGTAGTAAATAAAGGATGAGGTGGTACTGTACAGTGTAATGAACTACTGTACTTAGACCTCAGAACCCCACATCATAAGAGGGTCTCATGACTTCTTTTTCTTATTCTTAACACCTAGAGTATAACCGAGAGTACACAGAGAGTATTAACACCGAGAGTATAGTGTTTTTAACACTATAGTCTAAAAAAAAGGTGTATTGTGAACAGCTCACACAATGTAACACTAATCGCACAGTTCGCAATGACTCCACCAATGATACAGAAGCATCATGCATGACCGACCAATCCGAAACACGGAGGCAAGAGGAAATGGCGTCCGGTCCAACAAAATAGTGGAGTGTTATATGATGCTAAAATAAAAGGGTGTTCATTCTGTTTATTCCTATCACGAGCTTAACTACGAGTTAACATAACTTGCGAATTTTGAGAACTCGTGATTTCGATTTCCCTATTTCTTGAACAATTAAGTCCCCTATTCTTTAGTTCCTTGTTCAGAATGGGTAGCCACAGTGTCCTAATTTCAACCGAAGACTGGCTGATTGGTTGGTCTGCTAATTTAATGTATGAGTCTTCAATGAATTTACATTTGAAATAATGAGGTTCCTTATGGAAAATTTTTGCCTCTTAAAAATTTATACGATGATTTTCGGACCAGCAATGATGAGTGATTTTAGAATTTTCCACTAAACCATTTTTTGTGTTTTCTTTGTGTTCTTTGATTCTAGTGTTCAATGGTCTGTTTGTCTCGCCCTAGTAAGGCCTGGAACAATCATTACAATTTATTCTGTAAACACAGTTTTTAGTATCCTGAGTGTCATTTTTTGGTTTTGTTTTGACGGGACTCTGCCTAAGTGTGTTTTTTGTGTCCTAAACGCTGTTTGCACTTTAAATTTCCTAGCAACCCTTCTGATTTTTTGCAATAACCCTGACACATATGGGATTGACATGTGAACGACCTTTTCCATGCGATTTTGTAAAGGGCATTCACACGTAACCCTATCATTCTTGCATGTGTTTATAATGGAATGAGGGTATCTGTTACTAGCCAAATCCTGTTCTACTTTCTTTATTTGTTTATTTCATCCTTTAACTCATCCTGATTGGAGAAAATGCTCTTAGCTCTGTCAAACAGAGAGTAAGCAACCCCCTTCTTGACAGAAATTTGGTGGTTATATTGAAAGTTTAAATACTGCCCTGTGTATGTCTTCTTTCTATAAACTGATGTTCTAAGACTGTTCAAATGCTTTTCTACGCACACGTTCAAAAAGGGGAGTTTGTTTTGTGATTCGACTTCCATGGTTAGTTTTATGGAAGATGAAACACTATTAAGGTGCTCTAAAAACTCATCAATTTATCATCTCCATGAGAGAAAACCACAAAAGTCTCATCGACATACCTCCACCATATCTTCGGTTTGAGCCGAGCTGAAGCCAAAGCTTTTTTTGCTCAAACTCCTCCATAAAGATGTTGGCAAAGATAGGCGACAATGGTGACCCATGGCCATACCCTCATCTTGACGGTAGAATTTACCCCCTAATTGGAAATAGTTACACAACTCCTAAAGTTCCATTATGACGTTAACTGGGAGTTTAGTTCTCAATTTCTTTTAGGGTTTCCGAAACGGAGACATTTGTAAACAGACTTTCAACATCGAAGCTGACCAGCTTGTCAGTATCAGCCAGTACAATATTTAATATTTTTAGACTTTTCTACAAAATTGTTGTAATGTGTTCAGTTTTTTTCACCTGAGGATGGGATCAGATTCCAGATCCAAAACGTTTTGTATTGTCTTTTACCATTGTGATAGAAAATGTCCGTGATAAACCTTTGAACAACATTTAAATCGTCTTCCACTATTGCAGTAAAATCCTAAACGTCTCCTGCGGTCGTGTGGACATCATTATCGTCTTCCACAATCGCAGCAAAATATTGAACATCTCCCGCGGCCGCGGAGACATGTTCATCGACACCCACGGGAAAATGTTCTTGTCGTTATACGCAATCGCGGCAAAGCTTTAATCTTTCAATCGCGTGAGCGTGATCCTCGCAGATGCGCTCTGCGATCGCAATGTTATCGTGGAAATAAAGCTCAGCTCGAGCTCGATTTTCTGCCTTTTATCTCTCAAGCTTGTTGGCCAGGCTCTGCTCGGCTCGAAAATCTATATTCTATATTAAATTAAAAATCAACAGTTTTTCAAGAAAACCGATTTTTAACCAACCTGATTTTGGCCCGAAACCCTTAGGTTAACATTTTTGACCTGACTCGAAGTAAACAAATCTAGTGTGTAGCCATAGTATCATCAATCATACTTATCATAAATCATAGTATCATCAATGAAAGAATGGAATATTTATTAGCTAGTGTCCTAGCCTCATAGATATATTTGCCTATGGTAATTCTCATATAGATATTGTTGTGATAGGGGGCCCGTGTGGCAGAGCCCCCCGCAGGCTCGGGTCCCGGTAAAATTTCCCGAAAAATCCCGATCAAGGTTCGCAGGCCTCCCCCTGTCTCACGGGCCCTGCGAGCCCGCTATCGCTGCCACTGATCAAGCGAGCTTATGTACTCTTTGACTATTAGGCGCTCCAAAAATTTAGTTTATTGATGCTTGTGTACAGTTATATCTGGGCTCCGGGGTTAACCAGACCGGACACATTAACACCAACGCTGTTACTAATGCGTTGTAAATTTAGGACACAGTCTTTAGCATGACTATCACCATTATTCTTGATGGTTTATCAGCACCTGTTTTTTGAAATGCTTATATTGCTGGGTAAATATGTTCTTGTGAGATATATTTATTTTGATATTTTCCTTTAGTTTGTCATCTTGTACACATTTGTCCTCCAAGATTTTAACATTTTCATCACTATTTTTAGCATGTACATCTGGATTCATCATTAGTGTATTTAATACATCTGCCGTAACAAAATTCCTGTTTTGTAGCACAAGTGCTAAAATATTTATTTGTGTAACTAGTGAGCAAAGTGGCACTTTGCTGCACACGAGAGCAATGTTTACATATATTTACTCGACGGAATGATCTCGAGTGCAGCAAAGGCCTTTTGCACTCGTGTTACACATTATATTTTTCCTACAGTCACTATAAAGCAAAGTGTTACTTATTTTCAAGAGTACAGGTATAAACAGTAATAATCAGTATAGACACATAATAAACAAGTATATTGTTCTTCAAAATATGGTAAAGAAAAATTTTCTGACAAATTTTCTTTTTTTGTAACTTTCTTACGCCAAAAAAGGAAGACAGTTTGTATAACTCATACTTATTTTGCATTGTTCATACTTCGTTCTTGATTTTTCAGGTAACAGGTTTAATGAAACATGTTTTCAGTTTCTGCTATTTCTGGTCTACCATTATATTCACAATTACTTTCACTGAGTTCATTATTTTTAAACATGTTAGGCCCACTTATAATTCATCTTTCAAATACTACACTTCAGGTTGTGTTCAAACCAAGCCTTGAACGAAAATAGAACATAAACTGTAAACACAAAATGACAGGTTAAATCGTAGTTATAATAGTCAATCAGCTGATCATAGAATTATTATTTTTAAGTGTTGCCAACCTTTTTCCAAGCGTACACGGATTACGTGCATAATAGAACCACGCTGATTTGTGTTGTTTGGTTGGAATCCTGATGTGCGCCAAATTATAAACCGTACGACAAAGTATAAATATGCAGCAATTAGCAGCTTTCTGTACTTAAACACAAGGAAGCCAACTTTGTCGAATGACTGCAGGAAAAAGCTTTTAATTAATACTGTACAATCATTTTGGTCAAATTTTGGTAGTCTTTTTTGTGACGTTACATAATTGAAGTTTTGAATAATTTGCGACTGATCCTTCAAGTGTATGTAAGGTTGCTTTTGTTTGTATTCCCAGGTAATCACTGAGTTTATCAACAATTTAAGGGCAGCAGAGTGGTAGCAGTTCCTAATGAATCATAGTGATAAAATTCATTTTTTTTATTTTTACTATATACTAGCAAACTCCAATGACTCCCCCTTATCTGCATTTTGACAGTCCTTGCTATCATTTACTGGAACTATTAAGCATTGTTTTTGTTTTAAGCTCCAACTATCTAACACATGGTGATAGTCTTGTAGCATGTTTACAGCATGACTAATAGATGAACTTATTAAGTGAATCTCATCTGTTTTAGAAATTACATTGTCATTTAATAGTTGGAAATACATGTGTATTGGATCATCGGTTAACCAATTTTTCAAGCTTACAATATCTTTGATATTTTTAGCTCAGAAATCTGTTTGTCTTTTAGTTGTAATTCATTTTTGACTATTCCTATTTCAGATTATTAATTAGTTATTTTGCCTTTATAAGATTTGTATTTATTTTATATCACAACATTTTTTATTTATCTTCACACTCAAAATATTTTGCTTCCAGGTTGATAAGTTCACTGTTGCTCAACTTAAGGAGTTTCTCACAAAGCATAACGTGACAACTTCCTCAATGAGAAAAAAGGCTGAATATGTTGATGCTGTGTACCAACTGAAGTTTTAGTTTTACAGCGGTTAAAGATTTAGATTTTTTTAAATCACATGTTGAAAAGAAAATTCAGTGATATGTTAAGTTCTTTTAGTTTGTGATTATCATCTCTTATTATTTGATACCTAAGACATGTTTACTAAATAACTGTCCAAAAAGACGCTATTACTAAACATGTCTGAGTTCAAAGTGTTAAATTTTACGGTTATTGTTTCCTTTACCAAATAAGGTGTTTCCACTATTAGTCTAACACCCTCAAACCTATATTTTATTGTAAATACTGTACAGTGTTTTGAATAAAACCATCTGTTTACAGTTTCAGTATAACTTCTTGAATACCATTTTACAAGTTGGTGCTGTCATAGGAATATAATAAATTACCTAATTAGATCCTCCAACACTATCTGATACATTTACAAGACAGTAAATATATCAGATAGTGTTGGAAGACATAATTTATTTATTATATTCCTAACCTTAATATTTGGAGGAATTCCAGTTAGAATTTAATCAAGATATTGCTACAGAACCTATTTTTTCCTGTACCAATAAAGTTGTTTCTATTTACTTGTAAGTTATTTAAATATCCTCAAACCTGTATTTAATTATAATTAATTACAAAGTTTGAGTTAAAATGCTATTGATCATCACAATTTCGATATATGCTAAGGTGTTCGTTTTAGTTAGAATTTCATTGAGGTATTGTTACCGTTAATTGTTTTTTACCAATAAAGTTGTTTCTATTTACTTGTGATTTGTTTTTATTTCCTTAAATCTATAGTGCATCGTAATTAAGTTATTTCTTAACAATTTTTACCTAATACAGTAGGCCTATAACACTAATTCATTATTACGTTGTATTTTAAACAAACCCCTATAGCTTTTTAAGGGTTTTAATGTTCGATAACAAATTAAACTTTTATCAAACCGTGGTTTTGTTATCAACATTGACCTTTTAGTAATAAAGAAAGTACTAGCGTTATAACAAATTGCAAACGGTTAAGAACTAAATCGTTACCAACAAGCCAGGCAAGATATGTTCAAATTATTTGAAGAAGAGCAGTCTAACGCCAGGAATCTTTGTGATTTTCTTCATCAACCTATGGTCTTATGTCTCTGTTGGTGGGAAATGGGTAGAAAAATAACTTATTAAAATTATACACCAAGATATTTCAGGTTTAATTGTAATTAATTGTTACTGTCTACAATTACAGGTTAACTGTAAAAAAGGTTGTTTATGTTACATAATTTAGAGAACTATTAATTTTTTAGTGAAATTTAACTATAATGATCAAAACAGTCCAGTTATAACGTTGTAGGTTACAGGGAAACATCAAAATAATCAAAGCTCAAATTTATGAACAATAATGCCTCTAAGAAAGTTATGGATATCGTTATGTGTTTAGCTGCCAACTGAAAATAAAACCTAATAGATAGGCTACCTACTATGATTATTATTTACAGATATTTTTCCCTTAACCTTTGCAAAGAATATGTTATGATGGATTAAGTTATTGCAAGTGAAAAGTGTATGTTCTTGTCCATAAAGCTCACAAGCATCTGATAAAAATAGTATGTGTGCACTAAATTACAAAATAAAACAATAAAGAAAATTATGTTTAGGATGACAGTGCATTAACATATCTTGTACTGTATAAGGGTTTAGATATTTTTTGTGAAGAAATCTATTTCAGGATTAATGTTTTGAAAGGAAGAGTAGGCTTACAACTTTGTACAATGTGAGATCCTCTCAATACAAAATAGAATGATAGAAACCTGAAAAAGTGACACTATTGAAATACATAACTGACCACTGTGCACTGTGGCAATTAATACTGTCATATTAAATTTCCTTTCTATTTGGGTATTTAGTGAACTCATCATAGTCAAAGGATTTTTTGTGAGGATAGCAGGCCCTGAATGGGAAAGAGTCCAAACTGGCACTAGAGACACAAAACTTTGACTTAATATAGTACATACACAATCATTAGCATATTTCTCTGTCACTGACAGCATGTTTAACTAAGGAAGAGAATTTTCTTGGGATCCAATTGGTTTTAACATGACAAAGTACCTCGATGTAGTTTGAGAAACATAATTGTGTCATTATTGGTACCTATTTCAGAAACTGTTAAGATTTAGAGAACCCTCTCTCTCTCTCTCTCTCTCTCTCTCTCTCGTCCCAACCTTGGAGGTTAGGATTGATAAGATCATGGCCATGCATCTAAGCTCTCCACTACGTCTTTGTAAATATATATATATATATATACAGTGTGTAAATTAAGTCTGGCACACATTTTTTATCTTTTTTTCTATAGTAGATAGAAGTAATCAATTTGCGGGACTAATTAATAAAAAATGTTAGGCACTTTTTACAAATTTTGAAAATAAAAATTCCCTTAAGACAAAGGGGGGGTTGGGGGTAACTAAAAATTTTCAAATGACAACCCCCATCTTGTGACCCCTCATTTTAAAGGAATTTGGAAGACAAATTTAACGATGTGTCTAAAAATGTTTTTAAGCACCCTGTCCAATATGGCGGCTTAAAATGTGCTTAGGGTTGAACAAGTAAATTAAGTCTGAAACACCCTTAGGGGGATTTTTTCAAATAAATAAAAAAGTGCCTAATTTTGGCTCAGTCCCACAAGTGTATAAGTTCTATCTATTAATGGCAAAACAGATAAAATTGTGTTCCAGACCCCACCGTTTAACCCCAAGCACATTTAAAGACGCCATCTTGGACAGGATGCAAAAAAAATTTTCAGACACATCGTTAAATTTGTCTTCCAAATACCTTTAAAATGAGGGGTCACAAGATGGGGGTTGTCATTTGAAAATTTTTAGTTACCCCCCACCCCCACCTTACCCTTAAGGGAATTTTTTTAATTATGAAAAAGTGCCAAACATTTGTTCTTACTCAGTCCCGCAAAATAATTCCTTCTATCTACAAAGAGAAAAAAGATAAGAAATGGATGCCATACCTAATTTACCCGTTCAACCCTAAGTACATTTTAAACCGCCATCTTGGATAGGGTGCAAAAAAAATTTTCAGACACATCTTTAGATTTGTCTTCCAAATACCTGTAAAATGAGGGGTCACAAGATGGGGTTGTCTTTTGAAAATTTTTAGTTACCACCCACCCCCACTTGCCCTTAAGGGAATTTTTATTTTCAAAATTTGTAAAAAGTGCCTAACATTTGTTATTAATCAGTCCCGCAAATGGATTTCTTCTATCTACTATAGAAAAAAAGATAAAAAATGTATGCAAGACTTAATTTACACACTGTATATTATATTCAATGTTTGTATTTATAAAAAATTCTAGGTATCAAATTGACAACATCTCAACCAAGAGATGAAAAACAAAAAGTTAATACTTAGCCTAGGACTGAAGAGTACCAATTACATTTCGACATAGAAACCTAGGTCTCCACTCCACAATAAACTAATTGGATCGTAAGGTATGTCGTAGATTATAACAATTTAGAGAACATTAACCAGATAACTTAAACTATTTTCTTATGAAATTAACAAAATGTGAATTCAACTTTTTCAAAAATGGCCGCCATTTCCCAGTATAATAGTGGCTATTTTGGCATTCATTTCTTATGCGACCCCTTGTATCCAGTTCGATGGCCGCGGCCTGTAGTTAAAGGCGGCCGTGGTTCAGATCTCCAGCTAATCTAGAAGTGGGTAAACGTGATTTAGACCGACGCACCTGTGGTGGCTATAGGATAGGTAGGTGGATAGATTTCGGAGGGGCATATTTTTATATGGTCCTTTTTATGTTCATACCATGGTATTAGCTCTAATACAGTAAACTGTGTATAGTTCCAATACCCTTGTGCCCATAGAATAGGTAAAGAATCTGTTATAACCTGGTAAACGTGGAAAAATACTTCAAATTTGACATTAAACTTAAATTTTGGGGGTCAAGAAGTAAAGTTATGAAAAATATGTAATGAGTAAAATTGAAAGTAAACTAAGTAAAATACAATGCATTAAATAATATTTGTAAAAACAAATTACTTAGGTAGGAATAAATAGTGAAATCCACATTCCGCTATTTTGAATTTTTGGGGGGTTAAAATTTGAAAATGTGACTTTTAGAAATTGTATTGTTAATTTAATATCACCTACTACAATGCTGCCAAATTTCAAGTCTCTAGTAAGTTCCTAAATGGTTTAGATAAGCATCCCAAAGTCGGTAGTTTTCAATGTTATTTCCCATAAGAACACTGAGCTATAATTCTAACTGGAGGTAGCACTGAATGTCAAAGATGCGTGTCGCCAGCCGCCATGTTTGCGTGAGGTGTGAGTTATAAGAAGCCATATTATTGCTATGGCTATTATTATACTTGGCTTAAAATACCTACTTTGTATGGTCGCCATTTCAAAGAAAATTATTAAAGTATTAAAAGTATTCAAGTATGACAAAAATACTCACTGCTATACCAACCTAGTTATAAGAAGCCATGTTATTGCTATGGTAAGAAAACTTACTGCTATACCAACCTAACAAAATCAGCGACTCGCTTTTGACAGACTTCTGCCATGGCAGTGCTACCTCCAGTTATAATTTTAGCTCAGTGCATAAGAATAAAATGGGGGGGGTTAAAATAAAAAATAGAACATTTAGGATTTTCCCTTGGGTTTAGGACTAAGACCTACAATCGTGCCAAATTTCAGATATCTAGCTAATCTAGAAGTGAGTAAACATTTGTATCACCATTGAGTGGTGAGTGAGTTAATATGCGGCTGTATAGCACTGAGCTATAATCTATATCTCAATGCTGTATAGTTAATTAGGTATTCCACTTACATGGCATGGTTGGCTATTCTGTATCTTCAGTTCTTATTCTTTTTCATTGTCACTCCAACTCCAACTTCCAAAACAACTCCAGTCAGTCAGTCCAGTCCAGTCCAGTCGTCGAGTCGTCACGCAGTGCCAGTTTCTCTTCTCCAGTCTAGTTCTAGTATGGTTCTAGTTACCCCTACCGTACCGTCTGTCGGTCTGTCAAGTCAAGTGCAAAGTGCAAGTGTCAACTTTTCTGCCTAGCCTAATGTCTGTCATCGCAACTGAGATATAATGCTAGAAATGTTATGTTCCTGCTCAAATTCTGTTACAACTTAAAAGCTAAAGTTACTCAATTTGAGTTAACTAAAGTAAGATTGTTAAAGCCTAGCTTAAACTCATATTTAAGCTCATCTGATCCGACTCGGACTGTCATCAAGGTTTTCGGAACGTAAATTGGTTAGATTTCATGAGTTTGAGTGTTATTTATTATTTGATTAAAGTAATAACAGTGAAATAACTTAAGCATGGAATCAGCGAATTTTTAAATTAGTTTTTCTTTAACACAACCTGTCAAAAGTGCCATAGAAGCTGTGTAATGTTTATTTAATGGTTAATTCAATTCATTTAGGGAAAACCCATTACAGCATCCTATTTACAGTAATAAAACAACAGCTCAAATGTAAGGCTTTCGCTTAGTTTGAAAATGGCTGGAGTTTTTGCCAGAGGCGATAAAAGATTTTCAATTGATTTTGCTTTCGAAGAGGAAAATGATGAGGCTATTAAAATATATGGCTCGACGACTGAAAGATCACCTCTTAAACCTAAAAATCGAAGTATAACTTCAGATGAAAGTATTATTGTCCAAATTGATGATCCTAACCATCGTTCTCACTCCACAAGGTTAACTTTTGCTGAGGATGTAAGTATGCTTTCTTGTTTGCTTGTTTCTTAATTATAGGCCTAGCCCTGGCCTAACCATGCTCTCTGTCATTGGATCATGTCTTTATGTCACACTGTGAATTGGTTACAACCATTTCTGAGGTTACAAGGGCATTAACTTATAGGCCTAAGGCTTAGTAATATAGGCCTGGGCTAGTTTTCATGTTTGTTGGTCAGGATTAAGCATAGCCTATATTTTTTATAATAGTTGAAACTTAATTTTTCTACGCTGGTCTAGGAAATGCTTAAATTATAGTTGCCTTGCTCGATGGTTTCTAGTGTTTTACTTCATTAAGCGTTGAAATGAATTGCTTCTTTATTTATAGGACGTCATGGTTCTTTCTTACAGATTATCCTCTATAGGTCTAATAATATTAGCCTAACAACAATGTATGTCATGAACAGAAGAAGTGTTTGGAGTCAGATGCTATGATGCTTAATTACTCTTGGATTAGAAATCTGTCAGGAAACAACCAGTATGGTGAGAGGGTGGTATTGAACATTCAATTGAACAAGCCTGTAACAATGTTGTTGTTGATTGGCCAAATAAATTCATTGTATTCATTCATTGTATTCTGTTGCATCCCTTGGTCGCTTCAGCACTTTGAATTGACGACTAGAGATTTGCGGTACTCTTATTGATGTTAAAACCCACACTAACTTACATAATCAGTTAAATTTTAACTTAAAGTAGTTAAACCATTAAAGTAGTGTTTAGGTTACCGGTACGTTATACTTATTAGGTGTGGTTGGTATAATACCAAAGTACCTAGGATCCAATTCCACGACATTACTGCCCTGGGCCTGAAGTCCGTGGCCCTACCGACTCACCAATTTGATGTCTTTATCCTTGGCCGACATTAACAGATAGATTGCATTTATAAAAAATTCCACAAATGCTAGTTAGCCTACCCGAAGTGCCTTCTTTTGATGCACAGCTGCAGAGTGTGAAATCGTCAATATGCGTGATTCAATCTACTCGATATCACGGACGATCAGTTAATATAAAATATCAGAAATGACATTAATAAATGTGAACAAAAACCAAACCATATTCTTTATTTTTCATACATCAAACAACAACTAAAACTCTTATTTGTTTTTAACCAAAAACAATTTAAAAACATCTGACTACATAATATTTTATCTATATAAGAAAACAGTCTTTTGGCAAAGAAATAAGAATATTATATTGAGGTGTTATCTTTGTAAATGATTTATCATCGTACGTCAAGTGATTCCAATGTAGGCTACCAATCCATGCAGTGTATATGACTGTGGAAGAGGGTGTGGTATACAGTCATAAGATAAGGCAGTGTTATTTCTTATCTAAGTTTTCTTAGTAGGCCTAGGTGAAGGTAGATGATGCGAGAAAGTTAAACACACCTTTTCTATCTAAAAAAATTCATATGCATTTTGTTTCCACCTTAAAACAAAGCAATTTCACTTGTTCTTCCTCCTCCACAGTTTTTAAGGTACAAATAAGGTATTGAATCTTTTCCTCGTTTATTTTGAGCTGTATTGTATCAAACTAGTCTTTAACCTGGAATCGCAGGTGTTTGTTCGGCCTTAAGTCGCTCAAGTCTGCTCAGCTATGGTTTATGTACAACAAAGTCAATTTTCATTGGATTTATTAACAATATGTACAACTGTTTACTTTTTACTTGGGCATATGTTTTATTAGAGTGTATGTCTCAGTATCAGAACTTAAAAAGCACAGTGGCGGACTTGCAATAAGGCACACTAGGCTAGGGGCGCCCGCCGTTGAGGGGCGCCCAGCCATGGCAGGTGGCGGGCGCGTGGTGGTTAGCGGTGAAGATGACACATGTTTGTCGGGTGGCCGGCACGGCAATTCATTTTTAAAAGTAAATAGCATTGGGAGACATTGAATGTAATATGAGTACGCCCACTACGGTGGGACGGCCGATAACGGATGTCTGGCAGCTTCCGCCATTTTTAATTTGTTTAAAAGTCTGAGAGACAGAACTCTAGGACATTTCCGAGCTGTCGTACCGACTGGACGCTGCGAACTGACCAGGCGGGCAGCACGGGACTCCCGCCATTCTCCACTGGTCTCACGAAGACCAGAGCCGAAGTCGGGCTCACAGTTTTAGCTTGCAGGCTGTCCTAACTTGTGGATGTGTGGTTGTCCTGTCCCTTCCGTCCGCTCCATGCTATAGACATACCAAGAACAAAGAACAAAACAACCTGCGCAGAAACGAAAAGATCACGTGGTTCGCGCCGGTTTTTTTTTTTTTTTTTTTTTGTCCTAAGACGCTAGGCACGAACCTGGGATTGTTTTTCACATTACTTCAGGCTAGACCTAGGGGTTGCGGCATTATCACTTGGATAAAATCCATTGGTGACTTGGCGGGGATCGAACCCGGGACCTCAGGGACTGAAGTCCCGCGCTCTAACCACTACGCCAGCTCGCTCCACGTGGTTCGCGCCGGTAGGTGTGGCGTACCCTTCAAACCTGCGTGGCTCGAAATGGCCCAGGGTTCTTTTGTTTCTGGTATGTCTATACCCAAGTGCGTTCACCTCCCCCTTAAAAATGCTGTCCGTGCCGTATGCCATATGTCAGTCCGTACCATGCCGCTCTAAGTTTAGAGCGTGCGTAGCTTTAAACGGTATTAATTATAATGTAAGTCATTATAATAACCGGCAAAAGCCGTGTTTATACTTGTACTTATTAATGTATTGCATAAAGTATAACGGTATAACAAATAAGTACATAGATTCGTGGAATCTAATCAGGTAAAATCGTGTTTTGAGTAAGATCCTAAATATAAAATAAATAGGGGCCTCTCTTTTCCTTTAAAGTTGAAGTTAAATGTTACATTATATACACAACTTATATAAAGAGGTGACAACATAGTTTATTTTAAAAAGTGAAATTATTGTTAGCTGTTTTGAATGCTAAATTTAAAATCAAGAACAGCAATGAGTCCGGTGATTAATTTAGGCTATTGCCTCAACCACAAAATATATGTTTTAACTTAAAACCTATAAATACAACTTTAATATAATGTACTAATATTGTACTATGTCTTTCTTGTAAAAACGCATTAATAAGCATGCCAAGAACGGGAAATTTAATATCGGTTTTATGTTGAAACCTTTCCTTTTCGCGAAACACAAAGGGGCGGCCGGCTGAACGGACCTAGGGGTGGCGCCGTAGGTAAGTCCGCCACTGAAAAAGCACAAATCCTTGTCTTGAGGAACCCCAAAAATAACAGTCTAACTAATTTCTAATTTTTCAGACATTATCAAGAGACAGTGACTCCTTGATACATGATGGAGGTTACCACACAGGATTTTTCGATCCTTCCCAAGCTTGCTGGCATCATCCAAAAGTCAAAGAAAACTGGAAGATGGTTTTAGCAGCAGTTAATTTGTTAATAGTTGGAATAGGTAAGTGTATAAAACCTAGGGGAGTATGGGTACAGTAGAACCTTTATAATTCAGCCTTTTATAATGCAGACCCTTCAGTAATCTGACTTGATCCCATTAATAAAAATCATACCCTTAAAGAAATAGTATTTACAGTAAAACCTCACTAACACGACACCCAGTAACTCGACAGTCAACAGCTGACAGGGTGCACGTCTAACTGGCTTTGTCTTACTATTGTAATGAAATGAAATGAAAAATGTCTTTATTTAAGAGGTGAAGTTAGGACTAGCAAGTCCTCTCTACCACTTAACCTCTAAAACATAAATAAAACTATCCACTTTATAAATAAAATTAAATTATCTAAAGTACCATATTATAGGCTAAACATGTTGAAATTAAATTTAAACCCAAAAAGTCGATTCACACAAGCCGCCAACAACCCGCCACACCAGCGCCAGAGACTCATTCATGCCTGCTGCTCAAAATCATAGATTTTATCTCTTATTGTGTTACTTTTCAAGTTTTAATTGTTGAATATTCAACATTTCTGTGAAGATTGTTTAGGCTTACTCATTATTTAAAAAAAACTCATATAAATTATAAACATATACATTTATGTATGTAATGTAATCACAATGTAATGTAATACAATAATGTAATCACATATGATAATCATCACTGTTAATATGATGATTCATATGATGTTTATGAATCACTGTTAAAACTTGTTATCACTGTTCGTCTGTAGACTACAATAAAAACTCCTGGGTGGGAACAGAATACATACTACTTACATTGTTCATCCCCTGAAATATTTAAGTGATTTGATTTATTACAGTATTAAGTTCCATGATACACAACTGTTTTAATATATAGGTCTGGATCCCGTAAGCGGTTCATTCTCTGCTAGTTCATCGAAATGTTTTTAAATTTTGTTAACCTTAAAATGTTAAACTTGTTACCTTAGTTCATTCTCAATTTTAGGCCTAACAACATTAAACGATGTCAACATATTACTATCATTAATGTTATTACTTGTTTAATACAATTATTAAATGATTAATAATAAATTTCGCTTGTGCTGCATCAACTTCCTGTTTCTGGGCTCTCTTTTTTTTGTTTTTCTGCACCACTTAAATGTTCATAACTTTTCATAATGATTCAGTTTATATCTCATTAATCAAAAAGTCCATCACATTAAGGGGTAGCGAATTTTTATCCCCCTGGAATTTTACCCCCCTGGGCAAAACTTATGTCACAAACCAGGGGGTAAAATTCCGGCCGCGAACTTTTGAGTTGCACAACATGAGTTCGATGGATTAAAGGTGGAATCAAAAGTATGCTGTGAATTTAATCAGAACACATCAAATTATAAAAACTTAGAGAGTGTACGGGCCGGAATTTTACCCCTGGACTTTTACCCTTTCATGAAGTTAGCTCAAAATGTGCGGCCCGGATTTTTACCCCCTGGCCCCTATATTTATGGATATAGAAATAAGTCAGAATGATTAATTTTATTCTCTCAGTTTTAATTTAATAGTAAACATGTTATTATTAAGTAGCTTATTTTGATTTATTTTTAACCTTAACTAATCAAACAGGGTTTGAATTTTAATTTTAATATTCGGGATTTGATTTTTGGGGCCAACTGTTGATTAATTTGTATATAAAACATTTGGGTTTCCTTGCAGTAGTCAACACAACAATTGATCAAATACTTTTTACCGGATCCCTACAACTAAATTTTACAACAGGTATTTCGATGACCTTTCTCAGCTAATAAAAAAATCTCTAAATAGCTCATGGTTTTGTGCCTGAAGAAACAAAAAGGCATATTGTGTTATTGCACAATAGAAACGAAATACATTTTTGGCCACGGTGGTATAATATATTGTTAAAGAAATCTTCACCCAATTATCATTTAAAATTGATAAGTTACCGGTACTTAGTTTATTATACATAATGACATATTATTAACAGTTGGGGTCAAACCCAAATTCCGAATATCAAAATTAAACAGCGAAACGTGTTTACTTAGTTGAGATTACATATAAATTAAGATAGACTACTTTATAATAAAATGTTTACTATTAAATTAAAACTGAAAGAAGAAAATTAATTATTCTCAATAATTTCTATACCTGGCCAGGGGGTAAAAATCCTGGCCGTGCATCTACAGTTGTCTAAACGCCAGTTATATGGACACAGGGGGTAAAATTCCGGTTTTTATTGCTTATCTAATTTATCACACTCTGTCCATTTTCAGGGTAAAATTCCACCCACGAACAAACTTTAGAGCGCCCAGGTTACTACGTCATAGTGACGTCAGCTTTGTCCAGGGGGTAAAATTCCAGGGAGATAAAATTCCGGCGACCCCACATTACGCACTCAATAATAAACTAAGGGCGTGACACGCACAGAGCAAATTGTTGTCAATATACGCAATGACCTAGACTACATACAGTGCAGACAGGACCAAACAAAGCCTGATACGACAGGCACCGCTGATGAGTCACCCGCATGGATCTCTATAAAAATCAGATGATCTACGGTCAGCTGAGTTACGCGTGAGTGGTTAGTGGGGGAGGGGCTGGTCCGAGTGTGTGTCGCCCAGGCGGCAGGCGCACAGCTACAGTTCCTAGCCTGAAGCAACACAGCCACACAGACAATACACATCGTTGGGTGATCGTGGTGGGCGGTGGGTTAAAAATTTTGTTAATTAAAAGATAAAACTTTAGTAGATTTAGCAGAATAAAAGTATCTACCAACACATTGTGTTTAAAGAAAATTGTCAGAAGAGAAAAACATCCATAAACAAAGGACGGTTTTACGGACGGTTTTTAGGAGAAAATGGTATCTCAACCTCGCGGGCCCCCAAACCTCGTGGGGTCTGCGGGGCCGGCTGTTACGCCACTGTGTGGGTTAACTGCTTGCATTTTTTAAATAGTAATTTGATGTGTTTTTCGCAGGATTTTAATTTTACAAAAACAGTCTGTAGGCGACATCTAACAACTCTATTCATTATAACCTAAACTTTAACTTACCTAAGCTAACCTACCTTCAAAGGACTTAATGCAGTCACAAATTCGCATAAAGCACGGCCAACCACCCTGACATGCGTTTTCTAAAACATAAGGAAGGACAAGGAGTTTACTAACGTTCTAGAGGTTTGGTTTGGTTAGGTTATGTTAGAACAGCACCATTTTATTATGTAATTTCTTAACAGAAAAATATAAATCATTATTACAAAATTAATACTGGTAACAATAATAAATTGAATTAAATGTGTTAACTAATTGGTCTTAGAAAGTGAAAAGTGTAATCAGGTGATTTTTAAATTGCCGAATAAGAGTTGGCTAATAAAGTTGTCACTTCCATTTGCTTTACTGGAATATACCATCATAGATTAGAGATCTACAGGTATCTCTTCAAGTTTACAAACGTGCGGTAAGCAGTTGGCTGTCCTAGATTGGACTCGATTAGTCTGAGACACATGTCAACACACGATCAGTTCAGTATACAATACCTAACGAGATTAATACACAAGTACACAAAACAATATTTAGCGCACAGTCATTAGTTACTGCAACTCCATATTCACTTGACCACTTGTTACTTAGCATTAACTGTTCCGGTAGCTGTCTCATAACTTAGTTGTAAATAATATTTTGATTAATTTAGTTGTATTTTTATATTAATTACAAATTTGTAATAGAGCTTGTCCCGCACACAGGTCTTGTACGGCCTGTGCGGGAATATTCTTTCGTATTACTTATGCGTATATATATTAAACAATTTTTGAAATGAAACAGATTTTGATTTGATTTGTACAGGTATAACAACATAACCACACTCTAGCATGTTTTTTTACACCACCTGGATCAATGATTAATATGAATGGTTTGGACTTGTTTGCATTTATATTTAAAATACCTTTATTTTCAGGTTTGTTATTAACAAGCGTCGTAGTAATCTTCATGCCCAACACGGGACTTCAAGGTTTTGTATTCTTTCTTGCCGGCTGCATTTGCTTCATACCAGGAGCCTACCATGTAGTTTATATTTATCTTGCTGTCAAAGGAAAACAAGGGTATGACTTTTATCACTTGCCCTTGTTCAACTAAAATGTTTATTATTTACTTCTTTCTGATGATGTATTTATAAACGCCCTCTTCCATTTTATGTTTATTTTGTGTACATTTTTAGTTTTAGGATGTGGATGCTGTGAATTTCAAACCATCCAAAAAATTATAATAAGCAAAGAGTCTTGATTACATGTCCAGAGTAAATATAATCTTTTATGCTGAACTCAATGCCGCAATCTGTTTTTTGTTATCAAGCTTTCTTGATGAAATATTACAATTATTTTACTTAAAATGTCAATATTTCAAAAACCCAATATGAAAATGGAAAACGAAGTGCGGCATTAAGTTCAGCATTAAAAAAATAGTCCAAAATAATGGATCAAAACACCACCTTCATATTTAAAAAAAATTATCTAATTTCAAAATGGCGGATCCAAGATGGCAGCCGAAAAAAATGCATGCGTCATAACCAAGTTAAAATAGGTCGACAATGAATGGTGGTGTATACTTAACTTTATCTAGCACTATTTTGAGATTATGGTCTTAGTTTGTAAATGCACAATATTAAAAATAAAGTCATAACAATTTCTCATAACTTTGGAATGGATTAAGATTTTTGTAAACGGATTGCAGCATCGTACTCATCGTAAAATTCTAGCTTGAATTGATGGGTCACTTCCCTACCTTTACATTTGAAAAAAATGGCCTATCCAATATGGTGGATCCAAGATGGCGGCCAAAAATTTATACCCAGTCAAAATAAAGTACTTACTACTCTACAATGATCTGACGTGGCCCGGAGTTGATAGATATCTTAAGAAATGTAGAAAAAAGTAGGGGGGGAACTCATTTAAAACTCACCCTGTATATTTAGTCTTAGAATCATTAATTATTGTAAGTCATACTTTTTTCAGTAGCCTATTTGAAACTAATATTTAGTGAGGTCCATCAAATTTTGTGTTTTACCATTAACACAAAACCATCAAAAATTTTTTGAGTTTTTACTTTTGGGAGGTATTCTTCCAGGGCTATATTAAATAATAGGGGGGGGGGGGGAGAGCCCATTACCTTGTCTAAATCCTGTACCAACATAAAAATATTTAGATACTACTTCACCTTCTACCTTGACTGTACATTTTGAATCTATATTACACCTGGACTGGACAATCAAATTTCAGTAAAACTCCAATATCCGGCCTACGTGGGACCTACCCCCTGGCGGGATAAACCAATCTATTATTAAAGCAATAATGTGTATCTTACTAATAACAACTTGTGATTGGTTAAAATAAAAGTTGTGTTTACGTATCTTTTTGGAATCTAGTAGCTCAATTGAGAAGTGAACCCCCGTAAAATGTATATGAACTGGAAACAGAAAAACCGTGAAAACGCTCAAATCATGGAGATGTAATCAAAAATGTAATGTAAAAAAGAAATATTTTTGGTATCGATTTCGGGAAGTGACTGGATAAACCGAGGACCGAAAATTCTGAGGCCGGATATCAGGGCGTTCTACTGTAGTTTTCTTGGTATCCTGAAACTCTAATATTTCCCATATACGCTGTCTGTAAAGACTGCCATACGCTTTACAATTTTCTACAGTCCTCATCAAACAAGGGTTTGTTTTTCCTTTGTCCAATCAGTTCCAGTGCACACTCTTGAATTGAATATTTTATGCAGCTCCATTGGCTTTCTCTGTTTCCTGTAGCTTGTTCCTCTTGAAAGTTTTTAAAACTTGGTTTTCATATTAATTTTAAATTCTTGTGCTGTGTATATACCTCTTTGATTTTCTTTGTATCGGTTACTTGCACTGTCTCGCTCTTCCTCCTTTTTCTACTCCTACGATTACCTTGGCCTACGATAACCAAAACTAGACAATGATCTCATCCACTCAGCAACATAACAAAAGGATCAATATTTATTTTACAGAACTACGGTATTTTGTTATAATTGTTTATATCTGGTAGACAATTTTGTATAAGTGCATATGGAAATTCTAGAATAAGCTTATTATGTAGAATATTCATCCATATAAGCTATGATGAATTTAGTAAGCATTGTACATAATGATATTATAGTTTTAATGGTAAACTTTGTTCTCAAGGTACCATACACTAAACTGGTCTCTAATTTTAATTATACTTAACATACCACCAAGCATAATTACAAACTGCAACTAAGGTTTTTTAAGCTGTATATTTGTAACTGTATATTTTACAGAAACAATCTTCGTGTGTCATCGGTAGCCAAGACTGATTTTGTTATATTGTTTTTGCTCATAGTTATTTATTATTCTCATCACAGTTCCTTATATCAAGGCAACTAGTGTTAAAGCAAAAGATTTAAAAGATGTAGGTATAATGGAACTTAGATAATTCAAACACCAAGGGACAAGTAAAATAATTTACACAATCCACATATTTCTTGGATATACTTAAATGTTTCAAATATTTGAAACTGAAACAAGATAAGTTTGGTAATTAAGGGGTTTGAAATTTGAAAAGGCAGTTTCCCTTTGCTTTGCCTGATGATGGTGGCATTGCTTGTTAGGTGCAAACAGTTTCTAAACTTGGACAACAAATTTGAATCTGTATTAGAACAGCATGTGTAGAGATTCAGTGTGAACAAACAACAAGTCAGTGATGTAAAAAAACGAGAGTTGGCACTTTGCAGAGTATCCCACATCTACATCCAATTCACACATAAACTCCAATAACGACAACCAAGCGTCTTACTTTGTAGATCAGAGTCATATTTCACTTCATAACCTGTTCGACCAGAGCCAACAGTGAAATCGTTCGGGGTTCACGAATCTGGTGTAAGATTGCAATAGTGATTCGAACGAGACCGATTTGAAAAATGCAAGACACGTACTAGTTGATTTACATAGCTAAAACCAATGGTGTGCAAGACGGTGCACCGGGTGAAGTGTCCGACCACGCGCCGTGAACTTTTGGCGGTTGCTGGTGGACAATTATGGGTGGTGAAGGGGAGAAAGCATTGACCTTGACTGAGTTATGTGGTTTGCATTACTGATTCTTATTGTAAAATCCCTAATTATTGACAACATTTAAATTACTCATAAGATTTTGACATTTACTATATTTATTAGTTCTGGGAATGAGTAAAAAAGAATTTACTGTAAAGAAAATATTGTATCAAGAATGTTGAAAATAGTAAGTTCCACTGTACAATACTCAGTGTTGGTAATAATATCGACTTTCTAAACACAGCTTCAATATTTTATAGTCAAATAAAATGATTCAATTTACAAATAATGCATAAATGCTATTGTAGCATTAACTTGAGTAAATTTTTAAGTAAATCTTTTTTTTTGAATATTCTGTCTAGTTACGGTAGTTATCTTAACCGGCATTAAAATGAGTTTCAGACCATGGAAGAGGGTGATAATCCCGTATAGTTATAAGCTAATTTATTTTGTGCTACCTAAATATTGCGTGGGACACTCACAAACATTTTCTATGCCATATACTTAGTATAGTTTTGTACTGAGCACATTTGTGATATAGACTATGTGTTTCATGATCTCTGTGCAATATTAAAAACATTATTTTTCTGTTGGTTTGCATTTAATTGTCAATTTCCTTCCCAATGTTGAAAAATTTACCTTAGTTTGGTGTTGGTGTAGTCATTGCCTCATGTTTCAATTTTCCTCTCTGTAAGAGATAAAATTTTGTTGAATTCAAGGTTAGCTCATTGTTCCAATAGTGGTAGTTTTTGCACTATAAATCTTTTAACACATACTGTGTGAGTATTTATCAATGAAACAGTAATTTAACTAAAACTGTATGTGCTGTAACCTAAGAGACAAGTCGCAATCTAATAATCTATATTAATTGTTGTTTACATCATTCTAAGTGCAATAGACTAGGTGTGATTCATTTCTTTAAGCAGGACTCCCTGTTATATCTGTACTTCAATGTCTGTGCCAAAGACATTTTTACGTATTTTGTGAGGAAACAGACCGAACCCTCGTCTTTAAACTATCTTATGTCAACATTTTGGTTAGATTGATAACCTTTGGCATCATAAATAATGCCCTAGTATCAAATGGCATCTGATCTGAGTATAGAATCGAGCCCACTTGGAATCAACCCAGTGGCCATCACATTTGAAGGCAACTGCTCGGAGGCTTGATTCCTCGATAATCAAGGAACCAAATCAAATCTTTGTTATCATATCTGGTATTCAAATAGCGAGGAGTTCATCTTTCTGTGAGATAGTCTCCCCCCTACAAATATACAAAAGCTACTAAGGTCTCTCCGTTGTAAACAAGCAATCTGGTTCAAATCAGAGTACAATGTAGTGTTCCTTATTTCATTCACTATACTATCCTAGCCAGTTCACACCTCCATAGGATGATCGTCATGAGTTTTCTTTAGGAAGGTGGTCAACCCCTGTTGATAACTGTTGCCAGTTAACAGATGTGTATGAAAATACCCCCGCCGCAGCAAACCTGCCGACTAAGCGAATTTCCAGTTGCCTGAATTGATTTTCAATTAAATGTATTTAATTAACATTAGGTTTTATGAGTACATAGGCTTGCTGCTACAATGAGGGTTAAAAGGGTGTTTTTAGTAAAATATTAATAAATTCGTATAAAATAAAAAAAAATTACAAAGTTTTATCAAAATATATTCATAAATAAGCAAACTACAACATTTGACAATATTCTCCATAAGAATAACATGGGAATTTTAAAATAACAATTTTAGAATTTTTTCCGTAACCAATAATTGTACAAAAACACTTTGATATACTAAATTATTTGTTTTTTAAGCTCTTTAAAACGGTCTGGAGAGAAATTGGGAAATTGTGTGTTCAGAGGGTCAAAAATTAGAAAAACCAATTTTTACCCCATAAAACCCCGTTCCCATGGTCCGATCATGCTGGTTCGCGATCTCATTCAGGTTTATCCTGCCTTACACCTTCAAATCAAATTTCATCAAAATCGGACAAAAATTACTCAAGTTCACGGACACACACACATATATACCGGGTGTCCAAAACCACTCGTACACCCCCCTTTAAAAACGAGGGAAACGTTTTCTTACAAACAAAAAATAATACAGAACTAGATAAATTGGTCACGGTCTACCAAATGGTGATAATTTCAAATCCAAAATCACACCGGAAGTGGACTTTTTTAAATGTAAACTACCAATTTTGATCACAGAATCGGATTCTACGTTAAAAAATACATAACTTTGGTCTTAAACATGTTTAGAAAAAAACTTTTTTTCTACCCTTAATCCCCTATTAAATTCAATAATTTTGGGTCATTCATTTGTCAAAGATACTCGAAACAATAATAGAGAAAAAAACAACAAAGATTACATAAATACATATGATGAATAGGATCAGCTGTTTATTGTAAACGCCTTAGTAATTGAGTAACAACTGGTCTACACATTGCTTAAATTAATTTTTTTTATCACTTGTTTTTACATTTGACCACTTTATTGTAAAAACAAATTATTTATTTCTAAAATAAAATGAAACCAAGCAATGTGTAGACCAGTTGTTACTCAATTACCATAGTGTTTACAATAAACAGCTGATCCTATTCATCATATGTCTTTATGTAATCTTTGTTATTGATTTTCTCTATTATTGTTTCAAGTAACTTTGGCAGATGAATGGACAAAGTTATTGACTTTAATAGGGGATTAAGGGTAGAAAACAAGTTTTTTCTAAAAATGCTTTAGACAAAAGTTATGTATTTTTAACGTAGAATCCGATTCTGTGATCAAAATTGGTAGTTTACATTTAAAAAGTCAACTTCCGGTATAAAAAATCCACTTCCGGTGTGATTTTGGATTTGAAATTATCACCATTTGGTAGACCGTGGCCAATTTATTTAGTTCTGTATTATTTTTTGTTTGTAAGAAAAGGTTTCCCTTGTTTTTAAAAGGGTGTACGGGTGGTTTTGGACACCCGGTATATATACATTTTAACGAATGGTGTTTTTGGCCTCTAGGGACATCAAAATGAAAAAGTAAATCGGTCCCGGACCTAGGTCTTACCATGCCACATACGGTAATAGCTACTTCCTATAGGGAAATTCGCTAGAAGTATTTTGGTGTAGCGAGGTGTAGAACATGTTGATAAGTTTAGTGACTTAGGAAGTTTGCAGAAGGTCATACACATTTGGTTTATGGTGCCGGCAGCGGACGTTTATCAGTTTACATCAAGACTGTTTGCTGAATGTCGTGTTGCAGACTTGCATCGTTGATATTCTTACAGAGGTCCCTATTAGATCGGTCACTGCTTCAAACCAGGCAAATTAATGACAGCAGTCGGCCCACACAGTAAAAAAGTGCAACTGTTTATGATGAGACTTAATTGTCCTATAGTGGTATGGACCATAGACTAGTACAGTAGTTGATAAACTAGGTACACAACAATGGCCTTGTCAGTGATTTGAACTTGCTCACTTGGCTGTAACAGGAGCACGATGGAGACCTATGCCTATGGACAGCCCTAACAGCTTGGGTGGAAGTTAACAGGGTGAATGGATTCTTTTTGTGAGTTGTAGCACGGAATCTTCATTGTAGCATCAAAAAATTTAATTAAACCACTTGTGTATACTATTATCACAGCTTTATGAGAGAGTACAATTCCAACCTGTGGACCCCAATTTGGTCAAGGAAATGAGACGTCGCTAACTTCAGTGGAGTACAATAATTCCACCATCCTAATAATTATTATTTTTTTTGCTTGTGTCTACACTAACCCTTTGGCAATTTTATAACGAAATAAATTCAAACGTGTGACGCAAAATTCTAGGGGGGGAATAAACTAGTATTCACCAAAATCAGGCTAGTCCTACCCCTAGAACCAGCCATACTCAAATTTCTTCCCCGGGGTGCTAAGAAGGAGCCGAGAAAAATCCAGGGGTCGATACGAAGTTGTCACGGCTTTGACTGATCAATTTATTAGACTTAATCGAAGGCTCAGAGCTCTAGAAGCGCTCAGGAAATCCTGCAGACGCTCAGTAGGAGCTATTTTTTATCCCCGCCTTCGTTAAAGTGTTTTGGGTAATTTTGCCTAATTTTTATAGGCCATAGATCAATACTTAATAGTTTGTCGAAATCAGATTCTGGCACTTCAACATGAAAGGAAGAGTAGCCCTCGTATTTAGTCCTAATTTGGGTACACTTGAAAAACTGAAGGTTTAGTTCATCCTTGATGTACCTGTCTAAAAAAAAAATCCTAATGCTTGAAAAAAGTAGTTTTTATATACATAAGTTGATGTGAAAGGTTTGAATTTTCTAACTAATTTAAAATATCTGGTTTTACAATACCTTTATCCAATTCCAAAAGTAACTTTCATCAACTTGTGTTACATGTTTCGGCGAGCTGCCATTGTCAAACACTTCAATACAGGACCAATTGTTTGACAATGGCAGCTCACCGAAACATGTAACACACGTTGACGAAAGTTACTTTTGGAACTGATAAAGGTATTGTAAAACCAGATATTTTATATATTACAGTTCCGGGGCTACAACAATGAATTAATTTTACTAACTAATTTAGTTAAAAATATATCAAAACGTTTCCAGACCTTTTCGTCACCCTGTATTATTGCCCAATATAATATCATAGATTAAAAGAAGTAGACATACTATACTCCTATAGTATTATGTCTATATTCCTTTTATCTATGATAATATACTTATATTATTGTGTTTTATGATCACAGAATTTACTATATTATTGTCACCACATGTCATTCTACATTTTGTTGTTGAATTATTTATATTTTATAGTTCGCCTTTTTATTAGTGTATCATACTGTATAAAATGTGTACCACAGCACCATATTTTTGTAGCACCATGAATGTTATAAATAAAATATTTTAGCAATTAGAAAATCTTTCTATTTGTAATATTTATTATAAGTTATTAGATGCTATGGAAAAATTATGAGTTCAGTTAAATAAGATTAGATGTTATGGAATTAGAAGCTACAAAAGCTACCCAGATAAGCTTATTAAGTATTAATGACGAACTATAACATCTATGGAGCATAAATCTACGTCCGTCGAGCTCCATGCAATAAAATTGATTCAAGTTTTGAAAGCAGATTGAGATTAAATAAAAAATAAAAGAAAGAAGAAGACGGAATAACCCGAAGGATAGGAATAACAAACAAAACAACAACAAAAATAAAAAATAAATCTGAAATTGAAATAATTGTCTACTCATTCATTAATGTCATGGTGCTTCGTCAATCTTAATGTTGTAATCAAATTGTCAATGTTGAAATGAATAGAAATATGTTTGAAAAAGTGGGAATGAACCTATGACGACAAGATATGACAATTTTTGTTTTATTTTTCCTTATATGGCCGTCAATATGTTCTTCTACAGTTACTGGTATGTGAATAGGGTTATAACTTGCTTACTAACTTTTTAGAAGCAAACTTCTCGGGTACAGTTTCTTAACTGGGCTATGCTAATATCGATAGAAACTATCGAATTGAAAATATTGATTAATAATCGATATTTTTAAATATATTTATTATCAAATTAAACCATCATAACCTAACCTAACCAACCAAACTTGCCCCTTGCTAAATTTGAAATATAGCGCAACTAAACTAAACGTTCCTTCAAAATCTAAATTAAAATTAACAGTAAAATTTAAAGCCCCAGCTTTATATCCGATTTAGAGGTGAATGTAGGCCCCTTTTATGCACAGTGGTAGTGGTGTGTGTCGCTTCGCTGAAAACAAGCAACTGCAACATTCTCAAAGTGAATTGCATCTGCAGCCCCATTAGTTTTCTGTATCAGCCGTGGTAGGCCTAGAGGAAGTACTTAGACCTAAATAAGTTTTGCTTAAATTAATCTGTTAAGCCCATTCACTAACATAGGCTCACATTTGGTACCTTTGCTGTTGATTTTGTTCATTATTAGCTGAACGATCTATTAACAAGTTAAACTGCTAGTTTCTTCTATTATGGTGACGATCTCAAAATATTCCCCTTTATTATCAACCGACAAGATTGTGTTATGCTACTAGGCCTAGATGATCTCGACCAAGTATTTCTTTGGAGTCGTTATAACTTAATTTTAAATGTCATGTGGCATGTTCTGTTGTAACTTAACATAGCCTAACTTATTAACAGTAAATTTCCAGTTAACCTCATCACGCAGAAGTTACAATAAGTTAAGTTATTGGCGGCAATATTATTTCAAGGAAACATCAATCAACTTGACTTAGCCTAAAGATTTGGGTGTTAAATGTGATTCTCAATTTAAGTTAAATAACGTTAGTCATAACTTGCAGGGTATCCCATAAGTAAGTAGGCTACCTAGCCTACAAATAATTCAGGAATAGTTTGGGTGAAAATAAAACAAAAATCAAATAGGCCTACAACTTTTTTTTACAAAACTGCCTCCTTAGCGAGATATCGACTATTTCTTCTTCTTATATTTACAATTGTAGGTTCTTTTCTGTTTTAATTCACTACCACAACTATTTTTTATTGCAATTCCGACATTTTTAACAGTAGCCTAGTTTTGAATACATCAATTATGACACTAATTCTAAACTATCTATTTCTAAACTATTCTAAATAGTAATATGTTGTAGAAAAGATAACTTCATGCTGAAAACTTTATAACTGCCTGATAGGCCTATCCTATGTATGTATGTCCTATGTGTCTGTGTAGTTTACACTATTTTTGCCCCCATGATTTTTGTCATGTAAATAATAATAATGTAACAATAACGAAACAATGCAAAGTGTAATAACTTAGGTGGCTTGCATTTAAATGTACAACAAACAGGTAGAGAAGATAATAGTTATCAGCAAATAACGTAAAAATAACCCTAAGGCTGAGAAATTGATCAATTGAATAATATGGAGTAAAATAACAACAACAAAAATCATAGTGCTATAGGCCTAGGCTTTAACACTGTCTGAGGTATGAGGTTGTTTAAAAACTCGGCTATACTGAAACCTATTATGTCGCTACATTAATCTTTTTTTCAGCAGCGGAAGAAAGAAAAGACATGAAGGACGTTCCTTTTATTGTTATAGAACCTCTTTTTTCACGTGAGTTTGGTCCATCCGTGGTGAAACAAGTCCAAGACACACTCAACTTGACTTGCACTGTATTTTATAGCCCATTGAACTTGGAACCGAGATATAACATCACATGGACAACTCCCATCAGTTTATCAAACAGGTGAAGCGATAAGTTAACCTCTGACCAAAAGTAATTTGTACAGTTTTTTTTTTTCATTTTATTTTGCAAATTTTGTTTTATACTAGTTAAACATTGCCAGGCTATTATAGATACTATTGGTTTTCATAACATGGTAAGCAAAAGGAAATTAAACATACGTAAAGTAACTTAATTCATCAACAAGTGTCACTTAAACCGTCAAAGATTTAGACAAAAAAATATCATTATAAATAGGCTATGAGGCCTGTTAATTTTGGATAAGTTATGCACAAGTATAAATTTTTTGTTACATTTTACATTACCTTTTGTTGATGTTGGGTGTAATTCTTGTGTTAGTACGATGTTTGTGTCACCCTATGTATTTCCCCAGCTTGTGTGGCATCTTCAAGGGTCTTTTTAAGTTATCTTCTTATCACTAACACTAAGTCTATTATAATGCATTTAGACTTGCTATCACTAGTTTTGTGGTAGGTTCGATCAGAAAACACTTGACAGACACACGCCATAGTCTCAGCAGGTCATTATGCCTTTGTTTCATTTCTTGGACTGGTGTTTGATTAGTTTGATGTGGCCTATTTATAAAACAAAATCCAACTCACACATTAACTTTCTTTATTCCCTCACGATTCTGAACAAAACCCACTGAAAACCATTAGCAAAGATACATGAAAGCTACCAAATATACAAACATGTAAATACTAATGTATTGAACACCCTCTTCAACAAAAAAGAAGACTACACCAGCTCTACAGTTTTCAAATTAATATACCACATTGAAAGTAACGAAACTGGAAACCCAGTGATAAACTGGCAACACTACAGAGATCAAAGGACTCGCCCGACCTTAAATAAGGAAAGTCCAAATTACCCTCAACTGTCTTGGGGGAGTGAGTTGGTTTAGTGGTTAGAGTGGAGATTAGATTACTAGTAGGGATGCTAACTGGGCACGGACCTATTAGGAAACATCCTAGAACCATAGGGAGGTCACAGATAGACCAATGCAGGTTCTGAGTAAATGAGGTGGAAACCTCTGAACACTTATAGCTGGATTGTCCGGCATTGGCCCAAAAAAGGTAAAAATCTCTGGGAAGGCCGCAATTGGAACCTATAGAGATGAGGAAGTTGGGCGTCTAGGCTATGCCAAAAGCTTAGGACTGTCGGACTGAGCTGAGGGGTGCTACAAAAGGTCAACAGGCCAAAGTAGCAAGGGGTAGATAAATACCCCAACCCCCTCCCCAAAAAAAATAATGTAAAAACCACACATGGGTAGGACGTAAAACTCAATGGAGGAAGGCCGAGCTGAGAATTTAACACTTGATTTATTATATTAAAAGAACAAAGTTATTTGTAATGAGTTACTATCAATCTAAAATATAGACTATAAAAGCAGGGTGTCCACATTCTGGAAAGTCAGGGATAGTCATGGAAAGTCATGGAAAAAAATTTTGGTCATTGAAAGTCAGGGAAATAGGCAAGAAGTCATGGAAAGTCATGGAAATTTCCAATTATGGGTGGATTTGAGGGGACCATTCAATGCTCTAGTCAGCCGTAACCCCGACTGTTGTAGCATTTTTCAGGATTTTTCACAAATGTTCGACAATTCAATTTATTACAGTTGTATTATTTCATGAGTTTTCGGTTTGTTTTAGTTCATTGTTGTACCTATTGTACTCCATTGTTATCTGTTATTACATATTTCAGTATTTTCTGCAAAATAACATGTCCAGGCAGTATTATTTGTGTGTGTATGTTATATTATAATTTGCGTGTAAAGTTCGTAAGTCATGGAAATCAATGATAAATGGTCATGGATAGTCATGGAAAGTCATGGAAATTAATGACAAATTTTTTGTGGACACCCTGAAAAGTGATTTGGGAAGCGGACATGCCCACCCCCACGGACACCCGTGCGGGAGGGAAAGATAGCTCGTAACCGCGGCTCACAGACTCTTCAAACCCGACTAACCAACTCCAGGTTCGGTGGTCCCACTTTGTCACACTCAATGATCACACCTCTCGTCAGCAGATTAATTAGCCACACACATTCTATACCACGACCAAAACAACTGAAAGCGATGTAGCAATCATTGTGCCCAATACTTTGTGACACTCAACAAAACCCAAGTAAACTGCAATGTTATGCTGGCTAGCGGATTTGCGACACGCTTCCACTGACCTATTGCCAATATCACTGGCAATAGCCAAAACTGGGTTTTGGGCTGGTAGCCATGATATTCGAAAAAGTATGGTTAATAACTGTCTGACCTTCACAAAAATAACAAAAAAACTGGAAACAAAGTTAAAAACTGGCAACTAAACAGAGATCAAGCACTCGCCCGACCTTGTATCCAGGAAAGTCCAAATTAACCTCAACTGTCCTGGGGAAGCAAGCTGGTCTAGCCCTGAGGTCCCAGGTTCAGATCCTGCCAAATCACCAATGTATTTTATGTTATAATGCCGCAATCTCTAGGTCTAGCCTGAGTTAATGTATTAAATAATACCGGGCTCGAGCCTAGTGCCCTTGGAAAAAAAAACCCTCAACTGTCAAACAGTCCAAATTTCAATTCTAGCAACACCCAGTCCAAAAAATGAAATGGAGGAGGAAGAAAGACCTGCCGTGCCTCCATTATGTGTCCGTCCTCGTTTTGTCAGATTAACCCGACCATGGTACTAGTGACTCCGTGCTTATAAATATTTAAAAAAATACAGTATAGATTAGAGTATTAATGAAGAAGATAACTTAAGAAGACCCCTGGAGATGCCAAACAAGCTGGCAAAATGCATAGGGTGTCCACAAACATCTTACCTACTCTAGAACTACAGGCTATAACAATAAAGGTGATCCAACATTTAATTAAAATTCTTCTAACTGGGATGAAGAATAAAATATACAATAAATAACTTATTGCCTGTAACTTATTATAAGTTGCATGGTTTTTACAATGGCTGTTTGAGACAAAGCATGTACAGTTTTACAAGCCCAAGCAGTGTGCAGTGTACAGCAAGCCAAAATGTTATGGGTGAAAATACTGTGTGTATCAACATAATATAAGTGTTTACAATATAACAATCTTACCTGTACTGTAAGAATTCCACACTAAGAATCAATTTGAGGATTAGGTCCAAATTAAGAAGCTTTTTCAAAGGAATCGAGCTTTTGGTTAGAAATAAATAACTACTGACAGCACCACTAGATTTGTGTGACCAGCAAAAAATGTTTCTGTTTCTAATGCAGTAATATCTCGAGTTAATGTAATCTATCTGGGGAAAATCTGCAGTATACACTTTATAAACAAGGGGGAGGAGCCAGTACCAACACTTAAGGCAAACTATCTTCAAGCTTTGTGAATGGGCTCTCATTTCAATATGTTTATTGTAAATTGATTCAGTTTAGTAAAGCCGCGTTCACACAGTACAACTTGTTTTATTAACTTGTGTTGTAGAACCAATTATAGTACCTAATTGGTTTTAACATGTTTAAAAATTAAATGGAAAATATTAAAGAAGCTGTACAACAAGCGTGTTTTACAACAAGTTGCAGCGTTCCTGACCCATATCGGAAACGTCAAACTTGTTCACCAAACATCGGTTCCGATATCTGGGCTCTAGATCAGTTTTCTTTCTTAGTAGCCTTACACAATAGTCTGAACTTGTCATTCTTAAAAAGTGTTTAAAGCTACCATCAGTCACCAATTCCCCAGGCAACACATCTTTGTAATCTCGTTAAAAATCTTGTAAAATTTTACTGCCACTGTACCTAGCTGTGTCCTAGCTTGTGGTGAAGGACGTATCCAAAAGCGACGCTTTGCTCTTTTCTTTCTAGCACAGGAAATCACAACACAAACAACAGCCACCAACAGATTCCCTTCACTAAAAGCAATCATGGTGACTGTAGATTTTTTGGCAAGCTCTTTTAAACATGTTTGATAGTTCTTTTTGAGATCGGATGATATTTATTAATTTATTATCATCACGTTACATCAATGTTTGACATGTGATTTGTCTTATAACTAAAATTTATTGTAACAATCAAACAACAACAACCAAAATATTGAATAGGCCTAGATTACTTAAAAATAATCATATGTTTGTTAGGAAATCTTCCAGAGAATAAAATGCCTTCTTCAGAAGCCATATCTTAATATTACATAAATGTTTAATTTCACCTAGACCTAATTGTTTACAGTAAGAACCATGTAGTGATTCAAGCAGCTTCATCCAACTCGGTGAATCTTGTGGTGCCACATCTGGAGTCCAGAGATGAAGGAATTTATGCCTGCAGTGCACAGCCCTTTGACTCGTTGGAGCCTAACGAGACACTGTTCACTACAGTTAGGGTCAATATAAAAAACCGTAAGATTTTTTTACTACCTCTATAGAGTAATTCACTAATAATAATGTACAAGTATATTTGTCCTTTAGTAACAAATTCAACAATTTAGTTCTTATACAAGAGACATAATAAAAAATATATGCTACAGCGTATCACATTTAGTCCAAGTAACAATTTTGCTGTAGATTCTTTGCTCTGACTCGATTCATTCATAAAATATATAGTATCGATATGAAAATCTGAATATAATGTTACAGGTGGATGAATGAATGATGAATGAATGATATTTATCTGCACAAAACGTACAGAATATTACATGATGTGGAAGTACAATTCTTGTAATATCTTGCTTGTGCCTATTATATTGCTGACCATACCCATAGTACCCATACATAGTAATTATGTGAGAATTGTACCTTAGTACAATTTTGCCTATTTAACAAAATAAGCGGGGGAAAAATGTGTAATATTTTATTTAAAGATTTGTTATCAAAATAACTGTTATCCATCAAAAACCGTTCACAACCTTTTCTATTAAGTTGTGCTATGAATTGTTACTAAGATGATAAATAGGCCTACTAATCAGGAAGGAAGTAGCCAGAGTAGCAGCAGGCTTCCTCCTCACATGCTCTTCTCTGACAACTCTTATCTCTGGGTTTTTAATCCTTATCGAAGAACTGAAGCGTTCATTTGCCCAAATATACTGTAAAGACAGTGTTTTAGATGATTGATTCTCAATGCCATCTTGTCTCTTTTCTATGCCTAAAATTTAAGACATGTGCTTTTCTTTGGCTTGTTACTATTTTTCACTACTTTTAAAGACTTAAAATTTAAAAATATAATCCATTGGGCTAATTTAATTTGTTCTAAAAAAAACCAAAAAACCAGAGCGTTGCTTGGATTTCAAGCATCAATAATATCCAGAGGGGAAATATAAGCACCATAGTGTCCAATGCAACAATTTAAGCTGTTAAAAAGTTTTATTTTGTTGTGACAAACAGAATGTGACAAGTGACAAATATGAGGATGTTTTACAGGATTTTAATTGGACACCCTGATAGATGTGTAATTGACTAAAAAACATTGGACACTATTTAATCAGTATGTAATGACATTTAAAGACTTGCTATATTGAGACTATACAAACAAGTTGATGGTAAAATTACATTGGGAATGACTACAGCATTTTCATTCATGTGCTGTGTACAGTACAATATTAACAGATTTAACTTGTTACAGGTATAACATGTTATCTACATATTAGAACTGAACAGTTTATTAGTTACATCAGTGAAACAGCTGTCTATAGTTTTTAGAATAAAGAGAACTGCAGTGTATTATAATTGTAAAAGGCAATGAATAAAATAAAATTATGATAAAGACAATAAAAATAACTCTTCATTTGGTTATTAATTAATAAAGATATGGTCTTTCAATCTTCAAATTTAAAATTTGTTTAGCCAAAAATCGGTTTTATTGAAAATTAGAAAACTTTAAGCTTAGAGTGTTTAGAAGTAAATATTGCAAAACTTGTTGAATCAAAAGGTCACAATTAATAACCTTTTCTTAAGATAACCCAAGATACACTTGAAATGGCAAAAAATGTGAACAATTATTTTGTGGATTTAAAAATCATAAGTGCAAAACATAAAGCTGATTTCTGTATTTTTTTTACTAAAAGCAATTATTTTAGAAGTCAGATTGTTTACATATACCAGTAGTTATTTACATTTACCTATAATATTTATTTAAACATATTCTAGCTTTATGCTGGCAAATTAAAAAAAAAAATCCAATTTTAACTCATGTGGACTAACTTACCATAGAAAACCACAATGCTAATGCTACAAGATGAACATGATTTTCTCTTTGAACCTGATCATGCTCATGAAATTTAAAATAGGAATATGTACCACAGATTTCTAATCTTAAACCATGATCACATAAAATCCAAAATCATCCATGATTAACAAAAATTCCATCTTATAGCACTTTCTTAGATATTTTTATAGAATTGAAGTAATCAGTAGTAAAACTTATAACTGGCTAAACAAATTTACAATATTGTTCTTAATGTAATCTTATTTAATCAATTGAAGTGATAAACTACGGACTTACTTGACATGTGGATGTATGTGTGATATTTAGTAAGTTTATAATCGTATCTCAATTGAGCAAATAACTAGTTCTAGAGGTCTCAAAATTCTCTTTTTCTTTAACTTGGTGCAACAAGGTTGTATGTGAATTAAGGTCTCAAAGATGCTTCTAAAAATGAAGCTAGCTAGTCCAAAGATAACACCAACAAAGATGAGATTTGAGATTTGTCTATGGTCTGCGACGTATGGAGCATATCACGCCATACTACCTTGAGGCACACATTCTGAAATTAAATGATCAAAGATTCATTAAAATTTTGTCATTGGTTTTTTCAATTTTGAAAACAGGCTCCCCAAAATATTTCAAATCCGATTTTAAATTTGTGTCTCAGAGTAGTTCACAAATGTCTCGTTATTCTTTGATCACATTGCGTATACCTCATCACGTGACCACAGCTTATGGCAGGGCTTTTGTTGTTACCGCTTGTCGTCTGTGGAACGCCTACCCCTGCACATTAAGACACTTGAAAAACGTTCCCAGTTTGTGGCGGCACTGAAAAAGCTCTATTTTGAGAAGATGGTCTCGGCTGGCGTGTCCTAGGGCTGCTGTTACTTTGGGCGTTTGCTGATGCGTGTATGCGAGAGTGTGTAAATGTTTTTTTCTATTTGTTAAATTTGTATGTTTTTTTCTGATATATGTATGTACTTGAATTGTTAAATATTTTATGTTTAATTAGATTAAGTTATCCCAATGTAACATTATTTTTGTTATATTTTGAATGTCAGGTTAAGTCCATGAGGAAAGGGCCATGTGGGCCTAACTTTGCCTGAAAAAATAAACAATTTTTCATTTCATTTCAACAAAGTGGTCTATGCTACATCCACCTCTAAACTGGCCAGCATCCATCCTTATGCAACATCTTGTCGTAGCTATGGGAGGAGAAATCAATGTTTCAATCAAGTATGAATGACAAAGACCTCATTATATAACTACAAAGTTAAAAGAACCGCACAATATAAAATAGACTGCGACTAACCTGTAGATAATGTAGAACTGAGAGAGATTCAGGGACACCAGCTCTCACGTCATCGTGCTGGCAGTGCAGCCACACACACAAACTAAATAGCACTACTTTACTATTTGTGCATATAACTTTAAAATATATCACACTCGCCACAACTAAAAATTGGTGATTCTTCACTTGACCAGATAAAATTAAAAACATGGTAGGCCAAACTCAACAGTACCTACTTTAAATAAAACTTGGCCTAATAATTATTAGCAACTCAAAAATCCATAACTTCAAAAAAATTAAACTAAAAATTCTTCTGCGCCTTGTTTCTGCTAAGGCCTACAAATCAAGCCGCCCAGGCTTCCTCACAGTCCTGTCAGAACGTCTTAGTTGTGGTGGACTGCACTGCACAATGGGAGGCTGAAGTTCTGCCACTGGTGTTTCGTCTGGCGTGGACTTCTTCTGCGGCGATTGCTTCTCCGGAGAGGCTGGTGTTTCATTTATATTCCTTTTATTGGGTGTTGCTGGTGTGAAGCAACTCCGGATGGGTGGAACAGTAGGCTCCTCTTCTTGAAGGGAATATTCCCGGCCTCGTAGATGGTCAGCATGACAAACCCGTGTGCGCCCCAGTGATGACACAATGTAAGTTACTGGGCTACGCTTTTGTAAAATCTTCTCTGGCACCCAAGATACCTTCTCATTCCTTACTGTTCGAACCAATACCAATTCTCCTTCTTCAAAACTTCGGTGAATCAACCCTTTGTGAGTTGTTAGCGTCAATAGCTCTTGAGACGATTCCGCAACAGGCATCTGTAGGTACGCAGACTGTAAGTCCAACACTGAAAAGAACTGACATCCCGACAGTGCCGCAAATATATCATCAGGTTGAGGCAAAGGGTAATGCTCATGTTGAATTACCTGATTCAAGGTAACCTTGAAGTCACCACATAACCTAACTCCCTGCTGTTTAGGTATGACTACCAATGGTGTGCCCCACCTTGAACTAGTCACTTGCATGCCTTTCCTAGGTGACCCACTTTTGAACATATATGACATTTATACTTATCATATGGGCAATTGTTAGCCTTATGGTCGGTCTTCAAGCACCTGTAACACTTAAAAAACTTCGTAGCACCTTCACTTTCTTTCATTTTACTACCCCCTAGGCCACGTGGTTTTCCTAACATGAAACTTGTTCACATCCTGAAAATTTTCCTGTTTGCTGAGAAACATGTTTGTGTGCTTGTCTGCCTTTTCTAACGTGTGCGCCAACGCTAAAGTTTTATCAAAATCTTTTTCCTCCGACAATAACTTTTACCGAATTTGTTCATTGGAAATCCCCGAGATTAGCCTATCTCTTAAAGCGTCCTTTAGGAATGTTCCAAATTGACAAGTAGCTGAGAGATGTTTTATCGCTACCACAAAATCTGAGATGCTTTCACCCGACCTCTGCGAGCGGGAATTGAACAAATAACGCTCTACCACTCAGGGCATAAAATAACATGTTAACTGGGCGACACAAGTGTCGCCCAGTGCTGAGATTTTGTCGCCCAGTGACTATGGGTGGTGCCGGCATGTTTTTAAATTCACATTTTTAGGTATCGGAATTTAAAAAGTATTTTAAAAATTACATTATTTAAATATTTTAAAGTATTGAGCTATGGTTTCTGAGTGGAAGGTCAACTACGGATGCCATTGATTGCTTTGTTTCTGGGATTTTGGAAGCTTTTGAGGGAAGGAGTCTTGCTCAGGTGACTGCGTGTGATTTGAGCAAGGCTTTTGATTGTGTCGATCATGGTCTCTTGCTGTGTAAATTGGAGCACTATGGCATCCGTGGTTGTCCTCTCCAATTTTTTAAGTCTTATTTAAGTGGTCGTTCACAGTTTGTTGATGCAAAGGGTGTGCATTCCAGGTGCATTGAAGTTAAAACTGGGGTTCCCCAAGGCCCGGTCCTTGGTCCCCTACTCTTTTTGATTTCTGTCAATGATTTACCACTTAGTATTGAGGGTTCTCAAACCACAATGTTTGCAGATGATACAACGTTCCTAACTGTTCACCCTGATCTCAATAGATTAAAGTTATCTGTAGAACATACAATGAAACAAGCTGGGGATTGGTTTAGTGCCAATAAACTCCTTCTTAATGTAGACAAGACACAACACCTAGTTTGCCATACTAAAAACAAAGATTTGGGCTCAGGTGTAATTTGTAAAGAGGTTAGGCCCATAAAAGTCCTGGGTGTGTTGATTGACAGCAGCCTTTCTTGGTCAGCTCACATTGATTTAGTATGTTCAAAACTGTCAAGAGTTATTTATTTAGTGAATAGGTTAAAAACTGTTGTTTCTGAGAAATATATCCGAGTAGCCTATTTTGCATTTTTTCAGTCAGTGTTAAGCTATGGTCTGATTCTCTGGGGTAACGGTAGTAATATAAGTGATGTTTTGTTACTTCAGAAAAAGGCACTTAAAATAGTAACCAAATAAGCTCTCAAAGCCCATTGTAGACCTTTATTTATAAAAACTAGGATATTGACTGTAATTAACCTGTACATATATGTGTGTTTACTTGATGTTAAATTAAAATTAGGAGACTTGGCTGTTAGAAAAGATTTCCATTCTCATTATACTAGATCTAACTCTCTACTTGAAATTCCGTCCCATAGACTAAGTAAATGTGCCAGTAACCATTCAATCATGAGCTTAAAGTTATTCAATGTATTGCACTCTGAGTCAAGAGCGTTGCCTGAGTTGGTTTTTAAAGATAGGCTATACAACTGGCTTGTTGAACATCCTTTTTATGTGATTAAAGAGTTTTTTGATGTAAAAGTTGTTAAGTTTTGATGTTTAATAGTTTATCTAGTATATTCTCCACCCAGCCTACAGCCTTCTTTTTACTTTTAAACTTTTACCTGTTATTGTCTGTGATATTAGCTTATTAATCTAGTCTGACTGGGTTACTGTGTAACCCTATTTTACCATAATATGTGACTATGTCTATTGCAAGATTGTTTTGCTTAAGGACAATAAAGGATTTCTGATTTCTGATTTCTGGTTTTGGCCCAAGAGGTTATGAAGGGAGCCTTGGCCTGTTACAACGTTCTAGAATACGTAATTAAGTGAGATTATATGGACTATTTACAAGCAAATGTAATTGAATAATTCATTAAAAGACGCGTAGAAATATGTGATTTTCACTTTAAATTTCCAGTGAGGAACCCCCGGACCCCCCTTTTAGATGGGGGGTATTCCATACCCCATAAACTCCCCAGTACTGCCGGCGCCACTGTCGCCCAGTGAACATTCCTTAAAATATGCTCTGCACCACTATTAAACGTTTGGGTGAAAAATGTTGTTCCAGTACTTTAACGAGTTTATCAAATTCTAAATCATCCACTTTTTCAGGGGAAACTACATCCCGTAACACTGCGAGCACTTTAGGACCTAACATAACAGTGATTAGAACAGAAACCTTGCTCGTGGCCTTGACATCATTCGCAATAAAATAATGTTTCAAACGCAACAAATATGACGAAATATCTTCTTCACTGGGATTAAATTCTCCCATTCGCCCCACACTCGACATTTCCACAGACTGCGCCAGTATAATATTCTATAACTACAAAGTTAAAAGAACCGCACAATATAAAATTGACTGCGACTAACCTGTAGATAATGTAGAACTGAGAGAGATTCAGGGACACCAGCTGTGGCGTCATCACGCTAGCAGTGCAGCCACACACACAAACTAAATAGCACTACTTTACTACTTGTGCATATAACTTTAAAATATATCACACTCATGAAGCAGGCCGGTGAGTTTTTCTTCTCCTTTTTTTAAAGAGGTTGGCGGCCTCCACATAGACTACAGATCAGTGCGTGAAACATATCCACAAAGCAAGGGGTGAGCCAGTACAGTACGAAGGTGAACTGTACTGATAAAATGTTTGTGGCAGTGACCAGGATCGGAATCCATGACTTCGCTGCCTTGGGCCCGAAGTCCGCGACGCTACCAACTGAGCCACCAACTCACCAACCAGCGAGTGATAAGGGAGTTAGTCCCTTATCACTTCAGTACTGGGTCCAAGTCCTCAGCCATATGCAAAATTTCCTTTTCATCACTCCATACAGAGTGTAGCTATTTTATATTATCATATTTTTATTTTAACAGCTGATATCAAAGAAAGTAATTGTTTCCCAATCTCTAATTTTTCCCTTGCTGTAAATTTACTTTCCCTTACTCGCAATCAGTTCTACATTTTCCCACTATGTGCACTAGTATTGGTTTACAATTTAATTCTATTATTGAAATTAGCTGCATTATGATCAACAAAAAATATGTAAACAGAAACATGCATTGGCTGTGTTTTAGCTTGTTGTTGACTGTACAATGAACTTAACCTTCAACTTCTAATTTTAACATTGTTATGTAGGTTTGCTATAATCTTTTTGCTTTTAATTTTATATTGTGCCTATAATAACGTTAATAAGGAAATATAATAGTTATCATTTTACTGAGGTCTGTTTATTTTTACATAGCATACTGAAGTGAGTATTTTTGCGTTGTGATGTAATCGTTCATAACTTGTACCAAAGATGATTTTACGGCTCCCGGCTTTGCCTCATTTGTGAAATTTGTTGCTGTTAGCACACACCAGAATATGCCACATGCAGTAGGCCTACTAGTAATGGAATTTTCTATTTTGCCATTCATCAAATTATACTGATATGAAGAGAAGACTTGCTTGTTGGCCCCTCCTCCCAACTTCCTCTACCCCTTACATACAAACACTTCTCTCCTTACACATCTGGCAACTAGCAAACTTACACCGCAGGTATCTAATCACAAAACACAATTCATACTTACTTAGTGGGTCCGTTGATTTATTGATTTTTCCTTTCATTGTTCCATTTTTCATGTTTGTTAATGAAAACCTATTAAAAAAACTTGTTAAGCATCACAATATATAGATGGGGACCAGCCAAAATTGTTTTTGAGGAATGTAGAACACCACCCTGGTGACAAGATTGAACTAGCTCACTTCATCATGAAAAGAGCTCAAAGAGGACCTAATTTACAGACTACCTTTATACTTTAAGATTGATAGGCCTAGTTTTAAAAGAATTATTGTGAAATGATTGGTCGAAATTGATAGCAAAATTTGTGTCTTTTGTATATATCTTTTGACGTTCTATGTCAATGATTGTACTGTAAGACACTGTTTAACGACAAAACAAGCTCACATTTTGGTATCCCTGTATTCTTTATTTCATTGCCAATCAGCTGATATGTGTTGTTGCGTAGTTATCTATGAGTTTTAGTGTTATTGGGAATTTATTGTGAATAAGTTTTAACTTTACGTTTTTGTAAACTCTGTTTGAGCATAAAAAAACAACCATACTGCGTCTTATTTACAATAAATAATCAAAAATAATAAACCTCTCAGATAACTTTAATGATGCATATAAGCTGGTCGGCAAAGAAGTAAAGAAAACAGGGACACCAGACACCATCAAATGAGCTGATTTTCTGTTAAAACTTTTCTCACAGTAGTTGTAATTATTTGGGTTGCGTTTTTAAAAAAACAACCTGTATATTTGATTTGTACACCAAAACCTTAACTAAATTTTTATTTGCAATATACTATACAAAAATTTAGTTAATTGAATAAACAGTGTTTGTTAGCTTAAGACATATAAATTGATTGAATTTTTTGTCTGTTGGAAGGAAAGTGTGCTAACACCATGTTTGCGTGCAGTTCATCAAAACATCAAGGGTGCATTCCACAGAGGTACAAATGTGACGGCTACCAAGATTGTCAGAAAGGGGAGGATGAGGACCAGATTCTTTGTGGTTAGTAACTAAGTACCTCACCCAACCAAACACTGATCAAAACTTCCATATATTTATGAATTGAAATATCTGCATTAGTTTTAATATCTCTTAATATCCTAACTCGAGGTCTTTCCAATGGTACCAACCACTTCCTGTTTAGGCCAAAATTACGACTTGTAGATTTTTTAAAAGAAAACGTGTTTTAGAAGATTTCGTCGATCGCGGCTCGAAAATTTTTACGCACGCAAAATATTGTTCAAATTATAATAGCATTTATATTGATCTGTTAGTGCTATAAGGTTTGTTTATATTTGAAAATAAAAGTTCAGAATCTCTTCTTTCCAACGGTATCAACTGACAGTATGTAGAACGTGATAAGCGTTTGAAAAAAAAATGTCCGAACCGCCGACTAGTCAGCGGTTGGGCACCGAGCGCACACATCAAACCGCCGGTAGGCAGTTCTAGGGATTAGAGGCGTGCGAGTAGTAAATTTCCCGTTTTTGTCAAGATGCAACTATTATAACTTTATAAACTGTTAAACATATATTTAACCCGTGAAAACTATGCTTAGGGCAAAACTTATCATTAATGTGGGCAGAAACGTACTAGCAATGAACATGCCTCACCTATGGACTGCTGAAGACTGGTTGCTCTTATCTCGGACGTATCGTACCCGGTCTTGACCTTTGTGTTGCGTAGCTTCGGTCTCTATTGTCTTGCAAATTAACGGATTTGTCTCTTCATGTTCTTTCAACTAAAGAATGGCTACCTTGCTCAAAATAATACATAATGAAATAAATCCTATAAAGTTCACCTATATGTCAATATATATATACAATATTGGGGAGTGCTTCAAATTGTGTCTTTATAGGTCCAATTTATGAGGCATTCGTCAAACCCTCTGCGATCAACGTACACCCTCGGCACTATCTTCGTGCAGCTTTGTATCGTCTGTGTCTTGGTCCCCGCCAGCAACCTTCGTCCCCTAAATACTAGTTCATTCAACAGTACAATAAGTATTTACTGATAACCTTTTGTCTGTGACAAATTTTACTTAAAATAATTGCTCTTTTCTTTTGTCCTTATCGTTTCTGACTGACAACATTTCTTTAGTTTAAAGTAAAACATAATAAATACAAGTGAATACAAAAAAAATACTTGAAAAAGTATATACATACACATACTTTGTTAAAATTATTAACACTTACCCCCCTTAAAAATACTCTCAATGAGGAGCTTTACACTTGTCCTAACTGTGTTTCCACTTTTCAAAACAAATTTTGAAGTCATCTTTTGAGTTGGCCGCCAGCTCCTTCCTATTTTTTTTAGTCATCTTCAATGATGTTGAATCGTTGTCCTTTTATGCGTAGGAATAGAAAAAAGTCACATGTAGCCAGGAGAGGTGAATAAGGTGAGTGGGGTGGGACAACCTTCTCATTTTTAGCCAAGAACACCGATGGCTGTACTGACTTGTCGAGGTGAACTTTCATGGTGGAAGAACCAGACTCCTGTCTGCCACAGATAGGGTAAATTTTGTCGAACATTGCTGCACAATCTTTGTAAAACTTCTAATTAGAAAGTCTTATTCTCAATCTGACCTTGGGAACAAACTCCGAGTGTACAATGCCGATGCTTTGGCATAAAAGAAACAAATCAGCATTCTTTTGGTGTTTGAATTGACCTGACAACATTTTTTTGGCACGGTGTGACGGGGAGGAGGGGGTCTTCCATTGGCTTGACTGTTGCTTTGTATCTGGGTCGCGACCATATTGCCACTACTCATCACTAGTAATTATCTTTGACAGAAAACATCGTGTCAGTTCAAAGCTACTGTTTCTAAGCTTGACATGTTTCCTATCTCTATCTTTTTTGTTGTGAACCAGAGCCTGAGGAACAAACTTTGCAGCAGCTCTTTTCATTCCCAGATCTTCTGTTAAAATGAGTTGAACCAAGCTCCAAGATAACCGATTTATCTCTGCTAATTGATCAATTTTCCGTCAACAGTCTTTGAGCACCAGATTCCAAAATGTTTCCACATTTTCTTCGTTTCGGGCAGATGATGGACAACCAGGACGAAGTTTGTCTTCAATGGGCAGTTCGCAATTTTTAAATAATTAACCACCTATACACTGGAGTTTTTTTATAATCTCATCTTTGTAAGCCGTTTTCAACATTAAAACAGTTTCAGCTGCATTTTAACCAGTAGAAAACAAAACTTTATAGCCTCACGTTTTTCACTTTTACTTGCCATCGCAAAAAACTAAACACAAGAAAATGGCACAAAAAGACGGTCACCATAGACGAACACAACCTGCCAGCTCGACAGTAGCAGCAGTACTGAACTGGAAGTGAATTTCACTAAAACTGCAGCGCTAGTCTGGTTATTTTTCTGTACCCCCTATATACTTATTCAAATATTTTAAAACCAAACAAATTATACTCATAAATAATTTATGTTTGCATTTTAAAATCCACCCATAGTTGTGTCCATATCACAATCTGCAATAAAGAAACACCGATGAGAACTAAAATAAATTCTGACATTACCATCTGATTTCTACACATATAATTAACCTATTTTGGGCTCTTAGATTTGGTTTTAGTAGACAAGCAAATGAAACAGCTGGACTTTCTAAAACTGAAATTAGAAATGTAATAGAAATATTTTTCATGTTTTTTTGAGTTTATGGCTTGCGTCTAATATATAAAACTAGTTTGCACATCTTCACACCTAGACACGTGTAATCCATGGTATGTGTGAGTAACTCTTTATAAAACCTTATTCAGAACAATGTTTGTATGTAGCGTATTAAATGTTTACGCGGGTTAATTTTTTAAGTAAGTGGCGTTTTTGCTCATAAATCCTTAGTTCGCTTGTTTGTTGCAAAGTGTACATGTCAGCTACAGAGCTGGGAATTGTGCTGTTCTGTTCAAAAGTTATGCCAATAAGTAGGGAGGAGACTTGTTGTGACGTACAAGAGCGAACAACTTATAAGTAAAAACGGTTCTTACTTAAAAAACCGCTCTCGTACATGTTACAACTATAACTAACATTATTTTTACAGGTGTCTCTCCGTGCAGTGACAAAGTGCAATGTGAAGATCCTCTTACTTCTATTGTACGTTGTATTCCCAAAACTTGGTGCTGTAACATCAGAGTGGACCCCAACTGTACTAGGGAACCCCTCTCGTGCTGTCCACCCATATTTTTCAAACGTAATATCCTCCTCTAACTTGATCTTATTACTTCTAAGACTAAAAATGGACAGAGTAAAAATTATTGAACATTTTTTGTACATGCTGCCACATAGATAACAATGTGATGATTGTAGATATTAGCCTAGACACCTATTTATTATGAGTATTTTTACCTTTTTGGTAGCCTAAGGTGTCCAAAATTCTTATCTCCTGCGAGACGCGTTTCGCATTAATTACAATGCATCTTCAGTCGCTGTCATTGTCAGGTCTCAACATTGCCCACAGAAGTGGTTGTCACAGTTTACAAAACATATAACACAGTTCACGAAACACATATTTATATACAGTTTTACAACCATGGTCACACACGTACTGTACATCAAGCGAGCGGGAGAAGACACGCGATACCGCACAAGGTTGTAGGCCTACTGGTCATTCCTCCTTATCTTACTCCTCCTAAAATACTCCTCCCATATTTTCGACCTTTGAGCGTTAAAAGCCTGTGATAACGCTCAAAGGTCAAAAATATGGGAGGAGTATTTTATTTTCAAAAAGGTCACTTCAATGGGTAAACATTGCTTATTAAATGTTAAAGAAGACTTTTCTGATAAAGTTACCTATCGTCTGTACAGTAGACTAGAGGGGGAAGAGGTTACCACGGATAACACAACAGCTGATTAAGACAAGATAAGGGAGGAATGACCAGTAGGCCTACAACCTTGTGCGGTATCGCGTGTCTTCTCCCGCTCGCTTGATGTACAGTACGTGTGTGACCATGGTTGTAAAACTGTTTATAAATATGTGTTTCGTGAACTGTGTTATATGTTTTGTAAACTGTGACAACCACTTCTGTGGGCAATGTTGAGACCTGACAATGACAGCGACTGAAGATGCATTGTAATTAATGCGAAACGCGTCTCGCAGGAGATAAGAATTTTGGACACCTTAGGCTACCAAAAAGGTAAAAATACTCATAATGTGATGATAGTGTAGAAAATAAAGTTTAACTTATTAGGTATTTCCAATGTCATAAACACAAAGAACAGTTGTTCAGTGTTCAAGAAATCTCGCTTTTGCTTTTAAGATTCATCTTGATGGACTTAGATGAAACTGTGTTTCATAACTTCATTCAGTTCAAGTCTTTTTCCTGATACCAATTCTCAATACTATCTTTGAGTATTAGCATTAAAAATAGATTAACTTACGTCGATTACTATGCCTCAAATTTGGTCAGGAAATTTGGTCGGATTAATTGTAAACCCGATTATTATTCCTAGTTTTGAGTGTAAAAATACTGCAACTACTGTAGACAAAAGAGACCCAACAAAACTTTCATAAATCGAGTAGTGAATTGGGTGCAAGAGATGAAGACTCTTTTGTATCACTATACTACATTGCCTCTTAAATATACAAGAGGATGGTCTAATGTAAAAGCAAGAGGTAGAGCACAAGAAAGATTCTGTCCTGAAAGCCCAGGTTTACTCTGCATATCTCCAATAGCTTTTAGTTATATTATAATATGTTTGTCCAGTTGTTGGGTTCTTCCTAAGGTCTACCTAAGTAGAGAACATTAAAGGACATGTTTCTTTTTGGAGAATCCTTTACACAAAAGCTGTATGCTATATATATCTATGGCAAGATATACTGGGTCTTGACGTAAATAGTTGGATATACGTTAAATTGCATTCATCTAGTAATGCCAGTTATTTGAACTAATCAGTATTTTGATTAGTGTAAATTATATTTATCCACCTTTTCAGCATATGTGGATGAGAGAAACTACTTTGGAAATCAACCTCATATGACAGATATGACTTTTATCCAAACAACCATCTATACTGTTATTGGTAAGTACTAACTTTTTATTTTTTTTCACTCTTTATACACAGCTTAAAGGAAATATATTTTAAAGGATGTTCCCGTGATTGCGGCCCGCGGGAGATTTTCACGATTTTACTGAGGTTGCGGGTGACGGTGATGATGTCCACAAGGTCACAGCTCACGGGATATGATCATGATTTTGCCGCGGTCGCGAGTGTTGAGGATGATGTCCCTTTGTTGCAGCCTGCAGGGGATGTTAAAGATTTTGCCGTGGTCACGGATACCAATGATGGCTTTGACTTGGTTTAGGAGAGATGTCCACGATTTCATCCACGATCACGGGTGTCGATGATGATGACCCCTTGATGCATAGGAGATATTCATGATTACTTCCGCGATCGCAAGGAATTTCCATCACAGGGGGAGGGCCGCTCAAGTAAATTGGCCTAGGGCCGCAAGTACTCTAAATCCGGCACTGATTACTAGTGCTTAAAGCAAAGCTTTGTCACCCTCTATTCATTGTCTTAATTATTTTCTTTTGATCTTTATATTAATGTATTGTTTTCACTTAATAATGTGTCAATTGTAACAGTATTGCATTGAAGTTAAATCCATGACATTTGACTTCATTTACAAGCAGTACTAAAGTTGACTGAGTAGTTAGAATCATATAAAATCAATTGCTTTACTTCTACTTTATTTGAAGTTTGAAATGGTAAAGTTTGTTTTACATTCAATATGAAAAGTTTGTGCACCTCAAAACAATACTGTGTATTGATTTTATTTAACTTATTGAAATCAAATTTGAAGATATTTTAAAATGCAACTTATATTAATGTAAGCATTTATACTTAATAAGTGAGAACTTGGATTTCAGGAGGAATCAGTTGCCCTTATAGTTGGATAGCAATGATAGTATTTTTATTTGAATTTGACATTTGAATTCTTAATGAACTGATTCAATAATTAATACATTGATAATTATTCAATTTTCAAATCCTGCTGACCTTAAGTTTGTCAGATACATTTCACATAATTACTTAAGTAAAAGTTGGTCTCCTAAGGTTTAAATACAGTTTTGGAGATGCTAGTGATTAGTTGTCCTAAAAACTGTAGAACCCTCAAAACAGTCTTTTTACGCTTTTACAACTAATTTTTACAAAATATCAATATACAAGTCAGAATATCAATTTAACTTGATTAAAAGCATAAATGTGTACAAACAAGTATAATATCAGTGCCTTCATGAGGGTAGTGGGGACAGTAAATGCAACCTGCATAGCATAAACATTATCTAATCTTGATAGCACGACTATTTCCCACAAAACCTCAACTGCTCATTGCTCAGTGAACGTAGAATTGAGTCTAGTTGAGGTTTATCAAGCAGCCTCTAGTCCTAGTGTAGTAAATCTTCAAGTCTCTCATTAGTACCCACATTGTAATACAACTGTGAATGTAGGGGTGGTACCTATATGGATCAAAAATAAAAGGCTTCTATAAAAATAAGAAATTTTACTGAAAGAACTTCAAAAAATTACTACTAACTAATTTTCCAAATGACTTTAAAACGTACAAAAGCTTAACAAAAATAATTGCTACTTAACTAAGGTAAATGACCAGGACTAATGTTAAACTAAAACAATTTGTGAATTAAAAAAGTCAATTGAAGAAGGGCGATTGCCTTTTAACTAAATACAATTTAAATGTTTACTTATGAATAATTGTGTTATTATTTTGAATTGTTGAATTTTGAATAGTCATTTCTCATTTTTGAATTGGCGAGAGCAGCTACCTACCGAAAAAGATACAACACAATTAATTAAGACATGTCATATATATTTTGAATTTTTTTAAAGAAAATCCTTCAATTTTTTTAAAGAAAGGTTAATCAACTTGATTTGGTAAATTTACACAATATACTTTGAGATAATAAACTTAAAAAGTAATGGAATTCCCTATTGGTCACTACAATAATACAATTTAATCTGCTTTTATAGGCAACAAGCCATATGAGAAACACTGTCACATACACTCGTGACTGAACCAGGACTTTAAGACACAAGCAAACGATTCGATGGTTTTTACGAGACTGTCTTGATGAATCAAGGAGTTTATTTTCTGATTTTCAATGTCTTCGGCTCTGATTGGTTAAGACAGTCCACTTGGACTTGATGGTTGGCTGTCAAAAAGTGCATGCATCTCAGATTGTCTTCCCTCTCCCTTTGACGAGCGGATGCATAGTTGCTGAAAGCAGTCATGCCGTGGGACAGGATGTTTGTTCAGTTGAATTTCGAACGGATGTTGGTGTTGTTTTCAGTTCTAAGAACTGAGCTTCTTTTCCAATATGTATTAATCATAGTACAGTACTAATGTTAATGAAAGACTGGGACACATTATTTACTAAACACTGTTGTTGTTGTAGGGTGTGTTTTGGTGTTCATGATTGTCATGACTGTGTTGGTGATTGCTATTTGTCGAGTCCACATGAAGCGTTCTCTGATGTCGCAGTGCCCGACAAACCCTTCACAGACATCTCAACTTTCTCAGGTGAGTTTTCCAGATCATCCCAAAGATAGACAAGGATTTGGGACAAACGACACTTCACACTGTTCTTATTCTTAAGTTAAGTGTTAGTCACACATTGAAGGCAGTCAGTCATTAAATGATCGCTCCCTATCTTTGTGATCAACAAAGTGGTCAGTGACGAAATATAAATGCAAATGCATACATTTATATCCTCTTCTGCTCCAATTATTCTGGAGTATGTTCTACGACAAGGCCTTTTAATAATCTTTTATCACTCCACAGTTCCTCTTAAAATCAATCTCACTCCTATGGGGGCCACATTCATTTCACCTCATCCAGATTTGTCTATAGGGAAAAAGTTTTTACCGGTACTATAGTTCGCACGGTAAGACCTAGACCCAGGATCAGATTTTTTTTTTCTTTTTGATGTCACCAGGGGCAAAAAAAACTATTTAAAAAATGTGCATAAATATATGTCTGTGAACACTATAACTCGAGTAATTTTTGTCTGATTTTGATGAAATTTGACACGGAGTGTGTAGGGCGGCAAATATCAGGTCATGGGAACAGGGAGAGATTTTTAAATTTGTCAAAAATTGGGTTTTCCCAATTTTTTATGCTTTACTCTTGGAATGCTGAATTTCCATTACAGCCATCATGTCAAACTTAAGAAAAAGTTGTAGTATGATTAAAGATTACAGATAGAATAAACCGGTTCTATTAACATTTCACAAAAAATCTTTTTTCCTTCCCTGTAGCAGCAAACCCAAGTAGGCTACTCTTTTAAACTTTTTTTTTTTTAAATGGGTAATAAATTGTACATGTTTAAGAAAATATTTGAGTAAAAAAGCAATCACACAATTTGCGTTTGCTTAGTCTGCAGGTTTAATACGTGTGGGAGGGGGATATTTTTAATGGGTGACCACTGGTTTTGAACCTACGGGTTTGGTATCAAGCTAATTAACAAGTTAACAGGAAAAATTTTCTTTATCAATGCTGTTTTGATGGGTCGTTTCTTACAAATGCAGACATGGACACTAAACAAACCCACCATCATGATTCACACCTGCTAGCAACTCCACACATTCATATTTATTTTTTATATTTGACAAAGTTTGATTAAAAATGTCTGTTTTTCCTTGCCTTTATATGTGCTTTGAGGACTCTTCACTACATCACAGATGAAGAAAACTGTTCTTATCAACTTGGTATTCAGCTTGATAATACTAACCCTGTTAATTGAAAAGCGCTAGTTACCTGAAAAAAAAAACCACTGATAATTCACCAGTACAACACATTTTTCCAACCTTTTTATTGGATTAATTTAGCTTAACTTGAAAGAATAGTAAATGATACTATTGGTTCTATTTGTAAAAATTATCAATAGCGAATTGTTAACTGTTTTGAATCAATTTGAACTAACAGAGATATGGATTTTACAAACACATTTAACTGGACAGGCTCCAGATTCTTAGTAGTATAACTAACTATGTTGTATTTTGTATTGATGTTATACTGTTATTTGTTTATCCAGAACACACCGATGTATGACTTGGACGTTTATCTGAACCGAGGCTGTGTTGTGGATCGTGACCTTGCCCCTCCAGGGTTTCTGGTGACCTATAACATCAACAATGGAGTGCAGATTGTGGGTCACACAATAGATCCTCCGCCATATTGCGAGGTCAGCACATGTTATAGTTAGAGGTGTGCGGATAGTGAAATTTCATTTAGGATCGGATTCGGATCGGATAGTTGAGGCTCGGTTCGGATCGGATATTGGGAGGTTCGGATTCGGATATTTTCGGATTCGGATAGTTCGGCGCGGTTAATAATAAGCTGCATATGTATTTTTAACCTATAAAACAATGTAAAGCTGTGTAAATAAACTTAAATGACGATTTTGAACTATAGAATTTCAAATTAGCCAAGTCCACAGTTTTCTCTCTCTTGAAAATCACAATTCACAACATTTATTTTCAAAAGTGGGTTGCTTGAATTAAGTACACTTGCAGCCGAAATCTCCACACAACACCTTAGCTCAGTAGGACTGATGTCAAACGTTTGGGCTTGTTTACTTGAGGTTATGTTTTATCTTGTTTCCTGGGTCTCACAAGCCAAGGAGTTCGATCTCAAGTTTATTTTCACATTGTATTTCCTTACGTTTTTGGAACGGATTATTGGCCTTAAGTGGCATTTTGCAGGTTTGCCAAGTTTAGAAAACATCACTAATGCACTAAGATGGGCTCTAGCTCACGATTTGATGTTGGGCAATTAAATTAGACTTTATAACTGTGTAAAAGGTGTGTATCCCTGAATTAATAAATTGCATTCTACACTTATTCACTGTCAAACATAATTCAGTAGAACCTTGATGAACTGAGAATTACACTAGCCTACATAACTTTACCCCAAGTAAAATACCAAGATAATTTTTATAATTGTATTTGAATCGTATAATCTTAGTTTGTTAAAAATGGATTGTATGTTCAACAATAATTGCAGTCTATTATTGTTAAGCAGTATGGTCCCAAATTATTGTTTTTGATTTTGAAACATCACAGTTCATTTGACAAAATTATAGTTGAAGCAGCCCAATGTCAAGTCACGCTTGTGCAATAGTTTGTTTACAAGCTTTCTCCAGACCACGGGGGAGGGGAGGGTCTGATAAGCCGTCTATTGTTCACCCCCAAGAAGGTCCGACCCTCATTAGTGCCGCTCGGCTGCACTCAGCGGGGAACCCAATACCACAAATCAATCTTTTAAATGAATACAAATATTTGGTAATAATTGTTTTATTAATATTCACCTTGAAATTTCAATAAATTTGGTGTAAAATTTGACAAAAATCGGCCATTTTGACCGATTATTAATACAGTACCAAATACCAATAAAGTAGTACATTCATTGGTAATTAAATAATAGGTAAAAATTAACCGATTTTCGTCAAGTTTTACCCCCCTGCTGTGCGCTATGTCACAAAAGCTGATAACGATATGGGTGATAAGTAATAATGGCAACTTGTTGAATGCGTGATGAAGGGAAACCCAAGAAATAGAAGAACAAAGAGAAAGAATACCGACGTTGTTATCTTTATACCCTTTTTACAATTTCCGTTATTGTTATCTTTATGTAAGATTTTATGATTTTGTTTTATAGGTTTATAAAATAATTCTTTTTAACTACGGGAATATCAATTTATAATTTATCAACGTGCTTCTCTTCTGAAACAACAATACCGGATGCATAATAAAGGTCAATGACCTAAAATATCACGATTGTACAATATTGTATTTTGATGTTGAAATTAAAATCACGACAAAAGTTTGTATATATCCATGGTCCCTATAGTTTAATCGGTACTTTCCTGTTAAAGGGAACATTCATTATTATCGATGATTTTTTCTCGATATATCGATATTAACAAATTGAAACATATCAGCTGACAACTACGATAAATAGTCCAGAATCGACAAACAAAAATTAAAAAAATATTGAAATAAAACTGTTCTAAACTAACCTAACAAAACTAACCAAACTTGCTGTAACATTTAAAAACTCCATTAAATATTCTCCACTCGCCTTTTCTGTTATCAAACGGAATTTTTAAATGGTACAGCAAGTTTGGTTGGTTATGTTAGGTTAGCTTAGAACAGATTCATTACTTTCCATATAATAGGAGGATATATTTTAGCCTAAATATCAGCTGTCAATTTGTAATGTATCGTAAAGGGAAAAAATCGATATATCGAAAAAAGATCATCGATAATAATGAATGTTCCCTTTAACAGGAAAGTACCGTTTAATCATTTAATATGTACACAATCAATGCTAAATAATCGTGGTTAGTTCTAACTTTATTTTTTATTATTCAAAGTTTCTACACAGTAAGACAATCCAAAGTCAAACCGGGCAATGAATACCCAAAAAGCAACGTATCTTGCCCTGTGGTTGGAATACCACTCGCCGGCCAGTCCTTTAGGTTTAGGGAAGTAGTGCAAGTCTATATATAGCTTCAAGGTCTTACCCACCCCTTCCCCTTCCGGTCCTACTTGACTCACTACCCGCGCTCCTTTCGAGGTCATTGCCCAACCCCTCCCACCCTTCTATTGTGTTGCCTTTCTATTGTTTCTATTCTGACTTTTTTTCGGGAAACATTAAATCTATTGTTTACGTAACATCACAGTAGTAGGCTAGATTTTTCTACTTTGAAACAGTACTGTAAAAAAAAAACTATTACGCAGCGCCCCTAGTATCAGGAGCGAGACAAGCACCAGTTGACTTTCATTTGACCATGGTAGTTCTTTTCTGCTTTATGTCTGTTCGTTCCAGACGAATCTAATCGTAAAGCAAAACAGCCGATAACGACTAAACTAGTTATCGGTATTGCATCATACGGCTTCTTTGTCGTTTTCTGTTAGGTCGTTGGAAACGTATTGCTGTAATTTTGTCCTGGGAAACTAATGGTGGTTATGGAGATTTAGTTTTCTGTCCAAAACGTCAAAATATATTGTCTATCCGAAAATGTCGGATATATAACGGATAGTGTCGGATATCAAATTTGGGCCCGGTTCGGATACGGATATCCGAACCGAACCGAATCCGACCCGATTTTTCGGATATCCGCACACCTCTAGTTATAGTTATAATTTATTGCCTGCTTTGGTCTTTCTGAATAATTAATTGATACCTACAACATATGTTCCTTAATTATTAGTAAATATTGATTGTCCATTTTGATAAACACAGATCAAGTTTATTAATTGTCTTGTCTATGATATTTTTAACAGTACATCTCAGTAGAGTACAACCTAAACCGACAACGGCAAGGTCAAATAAGCAGAAGGTTGGCAGACACGGAAAATCAATAAACTAATAAACCATTGAAAAAATCTTATTATTTTAAACAGTGAAAACTGTATAATTACAGTTATTATATTAAAGTAAATTGAGTACCTATTATATTCTATATATTATATATACGTCAACAATGGCTATAGTAGCAATGTCATCGACAACATCATTCATAAGCAAAAGAACCGAAAGCAAATACAAATACCCCCGCCGCAGCAAACCTGTTGACTCAGCGAATTTCCATTTGCCTGAATTGATTTTAAATTAAATCTATTTAAATAACATTAGTTTTAATGAGTACCAAGGTTTGCTGCTACAAGGAAACTAATAAAGTGTATTTTTTAGTAAAATATTAATAGCTTAGTATAAAATAAATATGCTAAGTTTGATCAAAATATAACAAGCAAACTACAACATTTTACAATATCCTCCATAAGAATAACATTAGAATTTTAAATTTAAATTTTTAAAAATTTTCGCTGTTACCAATAACCGTACAAAAACACTTTGATATAATAAATTATTTCTTTTTCTAAGCTCTTTAAAAAGGTCTAGAGAGAAATTGGGAAATTTTGTGTTTTGAGGGTCAAAAATGAGGAAAAAACTTGTTTACCCAATAAATTTTTGAGTTTCCACCAGCCATTTTGAGATGCCACCATTATCGGGTGATCGTGACAATGAACTAAACTAGGTCCATAATGCAGTTATAAAAACTTAATTTGCATCGCATCAAGTTTTTTAAATAAAACAGAAAATACATGACCGTACAATGTTATACATAAATTTAAATACAGAACCTATGCAAATCTTATTATATGGTGACAGCCTGTTTAATACTTGTTACTGGAGAAATTACATTGTCAACGGGTACAGGATATAGTTTATAGTGTGTTAATCTGCATATTAAGGTCGAACTGCATTAAAACAAGGAATCATAAGGTCTAAGGCTACAGTCCTAGTAAAACATAATTAAAATCCTTTTAATCAGATCAAAGATTTGGATCATTATTCTTCCCAAATAAGTTTGATTGTCCGGTTAGCTGAGTGGTCATAGTGCTCCCCTTCAAATCTAAAAAACAATTGTTTTATCACAATATGGACTCAGATGCTCATTGTTATTGGGCTATAAACTGATCATTCTTTCTGATTAAAGTTCGACACTACAGTAGTTACAAGACCAGGGTTTTGACTGTTCCCTCAAGAGTTACAACATTTTTGTTTTAATGCTAGTGATTTTGAAATACACACTAAAAAAGAATTTAAATGCAATGCTCTTGGAATGTTCTTTGCAAGAATGTAAAAAATTCTTATGTTTTGTACCTGAAATTTTATGTGTTTTGGAATGTCCGTAGTTTAAGAATGAAAATGGAGTAAATAAATACACATTTTACAGTAATAAATTGCCGCGGCCGATACGGGCGGGACTAACACGGAGATGGTCACATAACGGGAGCTGCTGGAAGACTCTGAGGAAAAGCCGGGAAAATAGGAGCGTGGTCAGGCTGTGTTGTGATTGGTCGGTTGAGGGTGGCGTGATGATCGGACCACGGCAACGGTTTATTCACTCAAACACTGCCATCATGATACATACATTGACAATAGTTATATACAGCAAGGTGTACTATATGAAATACACTACATTTCCTCCCCCTTAACTTTGATGACTATCAAATCATATATAAAGTTGATAAAACTGTTTTGAATTAGAACATAAAAATAACACGATAATTATCAGCAAAATACTCATCACGCATTGTAAAAGAACACAACAATAGTTACACACATAATATAAAATCAATAAAATACTACTGAACCGTTATAATATCTGAA